ATTTTGTATTGTCTCGTGTAAATTTTTGTAAATATGTAAATGTTATTTACTCTAGTATTAAGTTTGAGTGACCTCATTACCCAATTACCATCTTTATGTTGCTTGGCGAACATTATATTGTACTCTTATTAAAGGTAGCATGTACCCTTATTTTTAACAGTATTAACTGACAACTGTCACATAATTTTTATGGTAATAAAAGCAGCGATCTTTGTGTCATTTAGTCACAGATCAAATGTTTTTTGTCTCTCAAGGCACTTTTTGACTTCTACTTAGTTTATACACATGAAAATGACAAAACTTTGGCAGTTAATTTCTTTATGAATTGATCTAAGATAATAGTAATTTAATTTGAACAAATAAAGCAATCATAATTAAGGCAGCCTGTATTATTTTAAATGATTTTCTTCATATTCAGTGTTGGGAAGGTTAGTTTGGAAATGTAATAGATTACAGATAACAAATTACCATATTCAAAATGTAGTAAGTAGTGTATGTGTTCGATTACTTTATAAAAGTAAAGTAACTGATTACACCTGATTACTTTTTGATTACTTTTAGGTTTCTAATGGATATTTTCAACTAAATCATTTTCAGGTGTTAACACACTGAGCAGGTGTAACCTTACCATAGCTGTGGTTACTCTTAGAATCTCAGCATCTCTCATCACTTGAATTAAGATTATATTATTTAATTTTAAAGTACAGCCACCACAAAACCAGACCTTATAACAAAAAACTGATGTTACAAAATAAAATTGTTGTTAGTTGTGCAGGGTGATTTTTGTGGCATTTGCCATAAAATTACATCTAAGCTATTTTGTTATTTTAATTTTTAAATCGAAGCAACCTAAATGCAAGTCAATCACGTCTTAGTGATCAATAAAACTGTCAATATAACATATAAGGCAGAATTGTTCAGTTCAATTATTTACTGTAAATAATATGCTGTATCAAATAGAAACTAATTATAGTATATTACAGCAAAAACAAAGAATCCTCAAACTGGAAAACCAATCAAAAGCATCAGAATAGCAGCTCTTTATTAAATGGCCTTAGCAGAAGGCATCGTGCATATCAAAAACAGGCAAAGCAACAGATTTAGATTATTCAACATATTCGGATGTAACCCTATTTGGAATCTTTAACATTTTCAAAAGTAACTGTAATTTAATTACATATTTTTTCTGTACTGTAACTAATTACTGTTACTTTTATTTTGTAAATAAATTACGTAACACTGTTACATTTAACTAGTTAACACTGATCATATTTTACTATATTCATTTTTTTTTGCCACTCCACACTGCTTTAATTAGCGTATACTTTTACTCACGATTTCAACTTTCTTTTTGGTAAAGATTGTGTACACCTTGGTTCAGCTTTTATCTCCTCTTCTTCTCTATCTGCAACAAGCAATGGTTATATGATGGTAAATGCTTCAGCAACAGGGAAGAAGACTAAAGAGGAACTGATGCTGTAAGTCTCTGTTCGCTCTGTATGTTGTATGTTTTCCAAAGTCAGCATTTCACTTGATTCAGTATGTTTTTAAACAATTTTGTGTGATGTATATTTAGAAACAAAAGCGTGACATGCTGCCTTATTAGTGATCAGAAAATAGTGTCCAGTATTAAAATTAGCTGTTTATAATTCTGGGTAAACTGTCATTTAACATCAATTTTGCTAAATTGTTTATGGCAATAATTACAATACACTTTAAAAAGAAGCATTATGCTGTAAATGGGATGTTTAAAAATGTTATTGGTCGACCTTTTCAGCTAATAAAAGGAAAGGCTGTGTTCAAAACGAGCATATATTATTGTGTTGGTATAGGCCTATTTATTTTGTTCTGTCTAATTTTCCATACAAATTGTCCATATATGGTCTACTACAATTGTATTATCATTATTACATCATTCTCACTTACAAATTCTTTCCCTTGGTTTGCATTTTGCCAGGGTTGTGCAATATTTGCAGTTTTATGTGAATTTAGACATACTTATTTTGTCATATACTTACTTAACATAACTCATTAATGTTACTTTGTTAATAGTTTTTGTTTCATTCCATAAAGGTCTGACAAATATATATACATATATACAGTTGAAGTCAGAATTATTAGCACCCCATTGATTTTTTTTCTCTTTTCTAATTATTCCCTAAATGATGTTTAACAGAGCAAGGACATTTTCACAGTATTTCTGATAGTATTCTTTCTTCTGGAAATAGTCTTATTTGTTTTAAGCCAGATAGAATCAAAGCAGTTTTTAATTTTTCAAAACCATTTTGGGGTCAAAATTTTTGGCCCCCTTAAGCTATATTTTTTTCCGTTAGTCTACACCACAGAACAAACCATCGTTATATAATAATTGCCTATTATGTTTAGAAATGTGTTGAAAAAAAATCTTCTCTCCTTTAAACAGAAATTGGAGAAAAAATAAACAGGGACTAATAATTCAGGGGGGCTAATAATTTTGACTTTAACTGTATATTTATATATATATTTGTTTTTATTTAGACCATTTCCCCCATAGAAAAGTATACACCTAAATATCTAATAATGTTATTAGTCAACCTTTTCGACTACTAAAAATAAAGACTTTGTTCAAAATAGTGTATGTTCTTGTAGGTAGTCCTACTTATTTTGTAAAACTACGGACCTAATCATAACAATCCATCTAAATATTTATTATTATTATTATTATTATTATTATTATTATTTAAAGATTTATTTATCTGATTTTATGAAATTTAAACAAGCAAGAGTAAAAGAGAAAATAACAGTATAAATAAAACATAAACAGCACAAAATTTATTAAAAACATAATAAATAGACCACACTATAACCCACATATTGTACAACACAAATATATGGTGTGCATAGTAACTATGACACATTAAGCATATAAACAGGTCAGTACTGAAATTTGAGTTTGACAACATGGTTTATTTAAGATAAAAAAGAAAATAACATTTTAAAAGAGAGAGAGAAGGGAAAAATATATATTAAAGCGATAAATAGACTGGGGGGGGGGGGGTGGCATGTTCTTTTAATGTTCGGTTTTACTTGTTTACTTGGTTGTATGCTTGTGCTATATCAGCAGTAGTACTCATCTGGGAGGTGCAGACTAAAAGTGAAGATGGGCATCCATTCAGTCTGCAGTAACTGCTTTCAGTCTCTACATAAAACCTTCAGCAAAACACTATTTATAAATCTATTCATCTATATGCTTTAACTGTCTTCCTTACAATAACATTTGCAAGTTCTCTGTGTATTTATTGACCATTTAGTGTAGACCTGGACAGACTGTTGTACATTTAGTTTATTAAATACAGTTTTAAAAGCTTGTAAAAATTATTTTTAAAGAAAAGTTATATTGAAAAAAATAACATTCCTAAAGTATGTGACATAAGAAATAAATAATTATACTTTTTTTGATTAGGCAAGTAAAAAGTCTTAGGGCCCTATTCATACACCCAGCGCAATAAGTCGCAAGAGTTATATTTGCTTTTTTTCAGACCAGAGCAACCCTAATTTTCACGCTTTGCACATCGTTGTTCAAATAGTAAATCCTTTTTAAAATCGGGCTTTTTTCAGTTTATTCAGAACAATTTGCATCTGTACAATGTTATTATTAGTATTATTTATTATATGCATATTCATATTTGTTTTAATAAAAACAAGTTTAAATATGTCCACCTGTCAGGTTTTGGAGACATATGCATCAGTTTGATGATCATAAGAATAAGATGTGTGTTTGGATATAACCACACTTCATTATTATTGTTCATTTATTCATTTGCTGGAAATTAGAACTGAATTCAAAAATAGTTTTGAAACAAATCGTTGTGCTTAACAAATGAAATTAAATAAGTATAGGCTCATGAATGTCTTCAGTGGAGTGCGTAAAACATTGTTTCCTTATTCACGAAAGTAAAGGAGTAAAATTAAAGTAAAGAGAAAGTAAAGAGGCAGATTGATTTTACCAAGGGGCAAAGATTGAGATAATGAAAATTATGCAGTTAGATCTATCTTTTACTCCCCTGTTATTCTTGCTTGAATGGATACCCCAGGATGTATATGATAAAAACCAGAGATATTTACTACATGTATTTTTACTAAGTGCAAGAAAGACTATAACAATAATTTGGATAAAGCCACATCCTCCAACAAAAGCATATTGAATAGAAAAACCTGAATCAATATATAGAAAGGAATATATGACGGCTCAACTTCAATTCAAATTGGATATTTTAAGACAAAGATGGGCACCTATTACTATGTATCTAAGCATGGCAACAGGACATAGTATTCCCAGCTGTGTCCTTTGAAATTTAAAATTTGATGTGTGTGTCTTTTTGTAATTTGTTTTAATTTACTGGTAGTGTTGCTTGTTGTTATTATTTTTTATTATTAGATTTTTTAATAACTGCTGCTGTCACTGTTTAGTTCTGTAAAATGTTTTAATGTAAAAAATAAATAAAATAAAGAGGCTGAATCGAGGAGGCTCGTTCTTTATCCTCGCGCTGGAGATAGTCTGTTTAACTGTTTTCTCGCTAGGGAAGCATTCAGTTTTTCCCCTTACAAAGTCCGCCATGTAAAAATGCATCATGATGGGATGCAGCTGACCCTTAAAAGGAATCAAAGATGAAACTTTAATCGGTTTAATGCATGTTATGCTCAAAACGCACCCAAATCTCATTAAGAGAATAAGCACAACCCTGTTAGACCATGCGCCGCGACTCAAAGCATATTATTTAATCCTTTAAATAACAAAAGGGGATTCAGACACATCCTTAATACTTTTGCGCCATGTGCTTTAGACTTTGCGACTAGATTGTTACAATAGAGCCCTTAGTGTTTTGCCCTGTATAAGGGTCATAAGGGTCTTAAAGAGGTTTTCAAAAGTCCTAAAACCCTTGACTTGGTAAAGTGTTAAAGTTCAAATCCTTGAACTATCAGCTCATATTCTCTCTTTATTTCTGTCTTGTCTCCTTTAGGGCAGTAAATATCACTGGCAGAGTCAGAATGTCAAGCAGAGCGGTGTTGACGACATGGTGCTGCTCTCCAAGATCACTGAAGATGCCATTGTGGAAAACCTTAAAAAGAGATTCTTGGACGACTACATCTTCGTATCCTTAATCTCTGAGCAGTTAAGCATGCCTCTTGTCTGATCTGTCTGCACAGTTTGTGGGGGTGGTGTTGCTATTGTTGTTGCTTATTTTGAAGACTTGTACCGTGTGGTCATTCACAGAAGGTCGATCAGAAGTTTTATCTTCCTCTTTTGTTTGTGTGTGTGTCTCAACAGATCTGCACATGCTCACTTCCTGATTTTATAACACTTAGTTTACACTTGTTTGTTGGTACTTTAAGTTTTTTTTTCTCAGTCCAGATTGCATTTCAATGGGAAAATACTGATCTACATACTGTCTGTGAATTTTAGTTGTAGGAGTAGTAGTAGTAGTACAATGTAAAAAATGCTGGGTTCCACACAATCATGCCATTCCAATGCAAATCAATTAAATTTACCTAATCTTCTTACAATTTTAAGTTGATTGAACATAAAACATTAAGCTGTCCTCTTTTTAAAACTATAGAATTGTGTTGTTTCAGCTCCTTTTAAATAAGTAGCTAGAACAAGCAACAAAATATATATGTTTTAAATTTGTACTTGATCTTACCTTATAAGGAAATTCTGTTACAGTGGGTTTCAACATATGTTTCACATAGAAAAGCAATACTACACATCAGCCACTCATATTTGTACACATGTACAACGATACACATGTCTTTTATGGATTTTATTGACTATAATAAAGAAATTTTTATATTTTTAATGAATGTACAGTCCAATTATATTAGAACACTGCAAAATGTATGTCTTACAGTTTTTTTATTGTAATCCAGTATGAAAATAAAAACATTATTATGTTAGAATATATTTACGAAATGACACATATTATAAGCAATTATGCACAGCTCTACCCAAAGGAAGTGTAAGTTTGTTGTAAATAAATAAGGGTGTTTTATGCTTTTGCACAATGCTGGGAATAAATTAGACTTGCTAAGAGTAAAAATGTGAAACCGACAAATTCAGTGTCTTGTACTCACTAAATGAGTACCTCCCTAAATGCAGTGATTTCTACTTTACTGTAGTTTTTAAATGGCTGTGCAAACAGGATATATAGTGCTGTCTTGAGCATTTTCAGGAAGTGTCGCCAAATTTGTTTGCATTGGAAAAAAATTTACAAAGTAAACTGTCATAATGAAAACATGACAAAGCTATTTGACTGTCTTGTTCATAAACAATGGTGTCAGGACTTTTCATCTTGATGACACTGACACTTTCATTGACATTAATACTTGCTTTTGAGGAATGAGCTATCCATTTTAAACAAGTGACACACTTTTACAGGTTATCAACTAGGTTTTGCAGGTTGTACTAATTGTTTAAAGAAATGCATTAACTGTTGTGCAAATGTAAATAGTGTTGTGAGAAATACACCAAAGCGACTGAGAAAAAAATGTAAATACTTCACCATTTCAGTAATGTGACATGATTTGAACTGAAACGAACAGAATTTAAATTTAATTGAAGTAGATTGTTTAAATATCCTTAACTGTGGACATTGAAGACTTATATTGGGCCTGTGTTGATATCGGTGAATCCCTTCAAACAGATGCCATACTTCACTGACCGGGAGATTGAACTCTACCAGGGAGCTGTGAGTCAAATACACTGAACACCTGCCAATCAGTTAGCATTTGTATCATGCATTTTACTTTAGTATATCAGTTCTAACATTTTCCCCCTCTCTCTGCTTTCTTCTTAGGCCCAATATGAAAATCCACCACACATTTACGCTCTGACAGACAACATGTACAGGAACATGATGATTGACAGTGAAAATCAGTGTGTCATTATCAGGTTTGTGATGCTCGTGTGATTTGCGCCAAACACGGATTTGGTGCTCTTCCTCTTCCTGTTATGTGGCACATTCGAAACCCAAACCCACATTTACATGAAAGCCACACTTCCAGGTTACCTATGAATGTTCCAAAATAAATCTGCCAGAGATCAACTTTTTCCTTTCCTTTTGTAGACTTTTTTTTGTATGCATTTTTACTTCACAGATCTTTACAACATTTAACATCTAGATAAATGCTTCATGATCATCAAGAGGCACTATGCGGAGATGCAAATATTTGATTATTTATCTGATAATCACCCTCTTTAGTCCTGTTCTCATTATTGGCAGTTCCTTCCTCCATTTTGTCATAACCACAAAAGGCTTCGCAGCAGCAGTGGTCACCATTCTTAGCATGGTTTCCTTCCTGATTTACACACGAAGAAGAGCTTGCAAATGTTGTTTCTTCGTTGCTTTCTGAATCTAAAAGCGGCTATTTTGCCACCTTTCTGCCTAGTCGAACACGAGTTTGTTTATAGGTTCCTCAAAGCAAAGCATCACATCTAAAGAACTAACGTTTTGGACTTAAACGAACAAATATCGAATAACTGAAATGTTTCTTTTACATAAGGACAGAATAATATGGATAACTAATTTGGAGATACTAAAGACACCAAAGTATATGTTTGATTGACCAAATAGGAGCTTCTTAAATAGATAGTTCACCCAAAAATGAAAGTTCTGTTATCATTTAGTCACTCTTTACGTGTTAATTAAAAAAATAAGATATTTTGAAGTAAGCTAGAAAAACTATAACCATTGATATCTATAGTATTTATTCTTCCTAATATGGAAGTCAATGGTTACAGGTTTTTAGCTCACTTCTGCGTTCAACAGAAAAAAAGCAAACCATAAAGGTTTAGAACCATTGGATGGTGAGAAAGTCGAGTCGATTTATTTTTATTTTTGGTGAACTATCCAGTTAATTTCACAAGATGGATCCTCGTTTCTTCCTTTTTTCATCTTTTAGGTTTTGTCCAATGAGGATGTGGGTGGCCTTTTGCAGATGAGCCATTGTGTCTAATTTACCAGTGCTGTCATTTCTGTGAAGCAGCATTTAAAGAATTAAAAGGGGTTTTAAAGCTGCTAGCCACAGTTTCCTGTGACAGTGCCTTTTCAAACCATACTCGTCTGTGTGTGTGTGTGTGTTTGTGTGTGTGAGAAAGAATGTGAATTCACACAGCAGTGTGTAGAATCATTGACATGTGCTATGTTCTCCCATATGCGTTTGTGTTTAGCGGAGAGAGTGGAGCAGGAAAAACTGTTGCTGCTAAATACATCATGGGCTACATCTCGAAAGTATCCGGGGGAGGATCTAAAGTACAGGTGACGACTGTGTTTAAAATATATTTACTTACTCAGCCTCATGAAATAAAAGATGTAGGCGACCTTTTTTTTCACTGGAATATTAAAGAAGATTTTAGCTGAAACTGGTCCTTGATTAATTTGAAAATGCAAGTCAATACCGGCATTTTGAGAGTCAAAAAAAAAAAATCAAAATTGTTTCCTGATTTTCATTTTGAGTGCTTAGGAAGCAAAACATCAAGAAGCATCATTTACAGTATTATTACCTTCAAATGTGCATTTACACTGTTTCTCGATTGCTTGGATGCAGTTGTCAACTGAAACTCCACATTTTTAAAACAGTTAACACACAGGCCTAAACAGCCGCACTCATGGTCAAAATGACACATTTTGCTTGCAAAAGGCACATATTGTGTCAAAACATTTAAAATATTTAACAAAAGCTAGTTTTACCTTCAAACAACACAACTTGCAAACAAGTATATGAGCTCTTTCAATTAATCATTACACAATGGACAACAAAATACAAAATACAGAACTCATGCCATTTGTTGTCTTTCTATTTAGGCAGTCAAATTTGCCTTTTTGCAAAGAATTGGATCCAGAATAAGAAATGCTTTGATTAAATATATATTGAATTCATGACAATTTTCAAACTGTGGCTGAAAACTGAAATACTGTAAAAACAGACAAAAGTAATAAAATACTGTAAAAATTAGAGAAAACACATGTAAACAAATATACAGTCAAATCTATTGGGAGTATAGGACATAGCCACTATTGACCTCCTCCATCCATGCTGGCACAGAACAACACAGACCTTCCATCATTTTTAATGTTTGCAGACTGATTGTTAATTGAAGATTTGTGTGAAGAAGTGTCAAACCGGTGCTTCAGTGAATTCATACTGATCTTGGTAGTGTCTAATGGTTAGGAATAGAGGGTTTCTGTTTGGTTACCATAACTAAAACAATGGAGTTTGGACTGCTTGAATGACATTCGTGTTAACTGTTTTAAAAAATGGTGGGGAAAATGTGTCAACCCAATGAGAAAGAGTTTACACATTTGCAAGACCGGTCTTTTGCTCTGCTGGGATAGTGAAAATGAAAATGAAGTGGAGCCTAGTTTCTTTAACCAGGTCAAAGCAAACAAGAAAAACTGTAACTTGCATTATATTAATCATGAAGCAGCACAGATTCCTCTAAATATCATTTTTTAATGTTCCGGTGAAGAAGAAAAAAAATTTTTGGTGAACTTTAATAAGCAAGTCTTTAACCTAATCATGTATGTGTTTTTTCAGCATGTTAAAGATATTATCCTGCAGTCAAACCCTCTGCTAGAAGCATTTGGCAATGCGAAGACGGTCCGCAACAACAATTCAAGTCGCTTTGTGCGTTTATTTTTATTCAGAGCAGACTTTATTTACAGCACACCAACCTGTGTTGCATTACTGTGAGTAACGCTAGCTTGATTGACAGGGCAAGTACTTTGAGATCCAGTTCAGTCGAGGAGGAGAGCCAGACGGAGGGAAGATCTCCAACTTTCTGCTGGAAAAATCAAGGGTTGTGAGTCAAAATGAAAATGAAAGGAACTTTCACATCTTCTACCAGGTAGGAAACAGAACATTGGTCATTTTTCTCTTTTTTAATTGAAGAAATCCTTTTTTCTTAAACTGCATCTTAACTATTACAATTTGAAATAATGTTCTGTAGAACACGGCTTTAAACAACAAAACAGAAAATGGAAATTAAAGATTGCCATAAAAACAATAGGAGAGAAACAATGAAATCCATTAGAAATCATTTAAATGTTTATTATTGATTTAATAATTGTCTAATATATTTATTTATTTATTTATTTACTTTTTCTTTAAATTGTATTTGGGCAAATCATAGACATTTGTGGTCTGAAATAGTAAATTGTTAAAATATTCACACTTAAAATGATACCTAATAAACAACCTGTTTTTCCTTTAGCTAATAGATGGATGCACACCTCAGCAGAAAGAAGGCTTGGGAATCATGACGCCAGATTACTACTACTACCTAAACCAGTCAGGCACATACAAAGTTGATGGAACCAACGACAGTAAGGACTTCCAGGAAACCATGGTAAATACTATCAATAATTTCCTGCCAGATTATGTGCACCTCTTTAAATCAACTACATTGAAAGGGGTTCACTTTGTCAGATGATGTTTCCATCCACCTGATTTTATGTGCATCACAAAAAAAGAAAAATAACTTAATGGAAACACCAAGATAGGCTTTAATTCTAAAAAAGTAACATAATCTCAATAGAGTCGGATACATTTTTAATCCAATAAAACAATATGTGCATAAAATATGATTTGTGCTGTGCAAAAATTATTGTGATTATTCACATCCAAAATAAAAACTGTTTTGACATAATATGTGTGTGTCTTTGCTGTGTATGTTTATTATGCATATACAGTGCATTCGGAAAGTATTTATAGCGCTTCACTTTTTCCAAATTTTTTATGTTACAGCCTTATTCCAAAATGGATTAAATTCAGTTATTTCCTCAAAATTCTAGACACAATACCCTATATGACAATGTGAAAAAAGTTTGTTTAAATTGTTGCAAATTTGTTATTCAAAGCTTTTGCTCAATACTTTGTTGATGCACCTTTGGCAGCAATTACAGCCTCCAGTCTTTTTGAATATAATGCCACAAGCTTGGCACACCTGTCTTTAGGAATTTTTGCTCATTTATCTTTGCAATACTTCTCAAGCTCTATCAGGTTGGATGGGAAGCAACAGTGTACAGCCATTTTCAGATCTCTCCAGAGATGTTCAATAGGATTTAGGTCTGAGCTCTGGGCTGGGCCACTCAAGGACATTCACCAAGTTGTTGTGAAGTCACTCCATTGAAATTTTGGTGGTGTGCTTTGGGTCATTGTCCTGCTGGAAGATGAACTGTCGCCCCAGTCTGAGATCAAGAGCACTCTGAAGCAGGTTTTCATTCAGGATGTCTCTGTACTTTGTTGCATTCATCTTTCCCTCTTTCCTGACTAGTCTTCCAGTTCCTGCTGCTGAAAAACATCCCCACAGCATGATGCTGCCGCCACCATGCTTCATGCTTCCATGCTTCATAGTGTTTAGCCTGGTGATGGGCGGTGCCTGATATTCTCCCAACGTAACGCCTGGCATTCACTACAGAGTTAAATTTTAGTCTCATCAGTGCAGAGAATTTAGTTTCTTATGGTCTGAGAGTCCTTCAGATGCCTTTTGGCAAATTCCAGGAGCGGAGTGGCTTCCGTCTGGCCACTCTACCATACAGGCCTGATTGGTGGATTGCTGCACTGATGATTGTCCTTCTGTAAGGTTCTCCTCTCTCCACAGAAGAACGCTGGAGCTCAGACAGAGTGACCATCGGGTTATTGATCACCTCCTTGACTAAGGCCCTTCTCCCATGATCACTCAGCTTAGATGGCTGGCCAGCTCTAGGAAGAGTCCTGGTGGTTCCAAACACCTTTCACTTATGGATGATGGAGGCCACTGTGCTCATTTGAACTTTCAGAACAGCAGAAATTTTTCTGTAACCTTCCCCAGCCTTGTGCCTCAAGACAATCCTGTCTCAGAGGTCTACAGCCAATTTCTTTGTCTTCATGCTTGTTTTGTGCTTTGACATGCACTGTGAACCCTGGGACCTTATATAGACAGGTGTATGCCTTTTCAAATCATGTCCAATCAGCTGAATTTACCACAGATAAACTCCAATTAAGCTGCAGAAACATCTCAAGAATGATCAGTGGAAACAGAATGTACCTGAGCTCCATTTAGAGCTTCACAACAAAGGCTGATGTGAATAATGATGTACATGTGATTTTTCAGCTTTTATATTTTTAATAAATTTGCAACAATTTCAGAAAATCGTTTTTCACATTATCATTATAGGGTATTGTGTGCAGAATTTTGAGGAAATAAATTAATTTAATCTATTTTGGAATAAGGCTGTAACATAAAACAATGTGAAAATGTGATGTAAAGCGCTGTGAATACTTTCCAGATGCTCTGTAACAATATACACAGACTTGCACATATTTGAGAAAAAGTTTATTTAGGTAGGTAGGTAGGTGGGTAGGTGGGTAGGTAGGTAGGTAGGTAGGTAGATAGATAGATAGATAGATAGATAGATAGATAGATAGATAGATAGATAGATAGATAGATAGATAGATAGATAGATAGATAGATAGATAGATAGATAGATAGATAGATAGATAGATAGATAGATAGATAGATAGATAGATAGATAGATAGATAGATAGATAGATAGATTTTATTCACAGAATATTTACATTTTGTGTATAAAGTAAATGTGCAGCTTCAGAAAGACACAAATCTATTTTCGGCCACTAACATCATCATTGACCATGGGTTTTGATAACAGGAAGCCATGCAGGTGATTGGCATACCAGAAATGCATCAGACGCTGGCGCTGCAGATTGTCGCTGGCATCTTACACCTAGGCAGCATTAATTTTATTGAGGTGGGAAACTACGGGCAGGTGGAGAGCACAGACTGTGAGTGAAAGCACATGACATACCATAGTTTCAGTCTTCTATTAGCATTTCCATAAACATTCTGTTTCTAACCCAGTGTTGGCGTTCCCTGCATACCTGCTGGGCATCGACCAGAACCGTCTACAGGAGAAGCTCACCAGCAGAATAATGGACTCCAAATGGGCCGGCAAGACTGAATCTATTAACGTGACTCTCAATCTGGAACAAGCACGGCACACGCGTGACGCTCTCGCCAAAGCTCTCTATACCCGACTCTTTGACTATTTGGTTGAGGTTAGTTAATGCTACATTTACACACTTAGAGCCTAATTTAGTGGAAAGCTTAAAGGGGTTTTTATAAGGAGTTTAAACACATTTTTTAAATTTGAATTTTAGGATGCAAAAATGAACATCGTAGTCTCCATAAGTGAGGTTTATTTATAAACTAATTTCAAGAGGATCACTTGCTTATGATTGTTTGTGGCTGGTCCTGCATAATTTAATTTATGATTCAGCAATCAGACGATTCCTAAGGCACTATAAATACCCTAATAAGTTCCATATAACAACCATCTTCATTTTGAGGAAACCCCCCCCCCCCCCCCCCTCCACCCCTACTCCTCCTCCTTTTCTAGATGGGTGGCACGGTGGCCCAGTGGTTAGCACTGTTGTTTTACAGCAAGAACATCACTGGTTCTAGTCCTTACCAAATCTCACGTGGGTTTCCCCTGGGTTGCCCAGTTTCCTCCCACCGTCCAAAAACATGCATCTTAAGTTAATTTACTAATCCAAATCGGCATCATAGATATGCACCTAGTAAATAGTTATCTCTTAAGAGCAATCACTCTCTGTTTATTAGCTACTACAGCAGGGGAGTTCTTGAGATCTACCTGAGCTCAAACTTCCTTCTCGCCTTGCAAACAGGAGTGAGCCCTGGGCTTGAGGATCTTATGAGCTCAGGGCTCTCTCCCAGGACAGCATGCCAAACAAGCTTTATAATCAATTATCAGCTAAGTGTGAACTCTTAAAACTAATTCTTCTGAGCCATTCTTTTATAAAAAATAATGTTAGTCTTGTTTTAGCACAGGCATTTATAGCTCTGACTGCTCTTAAAAGGAGGCCTGGGAGCACAATCTCATTTGAATTTAAAGCAACAGTCACCAAAACGGCACAATATGGATCAAAGCCTGAAAGGGGCAGTTTTAGGGTATTTTGAGTTGAAACTTCACATACACACTCTAGGGGCACTAGTGACTTATGTTACATCCTGTTAAAAGGGTCATTATAAGTACTGTTTTAGTCACTTTAAAGAGGTGGTCTTCAGCTATTTTCAATGGCTTGAATGTGTTTATGGGGTGTACTGCAACATCTGTAACTTTATTCCACATTGCTGGTTTTTCACCCAAAACCTGAGCTTTAAAAAGTGAAATCATAGGTCAGAATTTTTTTTAAAACCTTTCAGCCTCAGACTCTCCAAAGCTAGCAGAAAAGCCATAACTCGAAAATAATTTCAGGCTGATCCTCCATCAAGGGCTCAATGCATAGGAACTGTAAAGGAAATACACAGTATGGAGAGACTGACTTTTAACCTAAGATTTGATACTAAAAGTCCAACAAGTAGTGGCAAAAATGGACTGAGTATGTCATTGTAAACAATTTGTGATAATCCAAAGCTGTTTACAAAGCTTACAATTAATTTTCATTTAAAATCTCCAATAAAATGTAATAATTGTATTAATTCATTTAGTTTCTCATGCTCAAAAAGCATTAAAAAGACTGGTTTTAATAAAGTTTTTAATGTAAGCAGCAGTAACACGGTTGGCTCTTCTGTTTCTATGGACTATTCTGCTATAATGCACATTGCACTTTCTCCCATTCTGAAGTAACATCCGTGTACTTTTTTTGTATGTCAGAAGTCTTTGAAAAAGGTCGTTGTTTTTGAAATGTTCTTCTGTTTACAGGAAATAAACAAAGCCATGCAGAAACCCATTGAAGAGCTGAGTGTTGGTGTTCTGGATATTTATGGATTTGAGATTTTCCAGGTGAATATACTCCGCTTTCATTTGATTGTATTTTATTGCATATTTCAATGTATAAATTGTAATATTCTAATCATTAAGTCAGATATATTTTGCATTATCATATAAAAGTTTGAGGTCATTAAGTTTTTTTTTTTTTAATTATTTATGAATTTAACCCTATTTAGAATAGACACATTAATCAAAATTGGCAGTAAATACATTTTCTATTATTACAAATAAATATAAAATGTAATACATTTAAATAAATGTTTTTCTATTAAAATTTTCGAATAAAATATCCTGATTTTTTTATTTTTTTTATTGAAAATATTAAGTAAGACGATCACACTTTATTTGGATGGTTAATTTGTTTAATTTAAATTACATTGCATCTACATGCCAGCTAATTCTCATTGTTCTCATTAGATTATAAGAAGACTGTTAGGGTTGGGTTTAGGGATAGTGTAAGTTGACATGTATTTGCAAAGTTTCTTGAAGTCAGTTAAATGTCTGTTAAAGGAGCATATTAACAGCTATTAAGCAGACAGTCTACTAATACTCAAATGGACCATCAAAATAAGGTGCTACCTGTAATACAACTGTGCTCACAGAGATGAAATGTTACACAAGCACTAAAGCATATTAGACTGTTTTCTGAAGGATCGTGTAACACTTAAGACACTGAACAAATGATGGCCGTAATTCAGATTCACTGTCAAAAGAATAAAATGCTAAAATATTTCACCACCCCTTATTTTATTACAAATAAATTTTAAAAATTTTAATAATGATAATTTCTTTTTCTCTAGAGGAATGGTTTTGAGCAGTTCTGTATCAATTTTGTGAATGAAAAGCTGCAGCAGATCTTTATTGAGTTGACACTGAAAGCAGAACAGGTACAAAACAAACTAATCTTGAATTACACTCTTCAGTAATATCAGGTTTGATATGCAGAAACCCTAAACTGTTTGTGTGGTTTTTCCGCCCACAGGAAGAGTATGTGCAAGAGGGCATCAAATGGACACCCATAGAGTACTTTAACAACAAAATCGTGTGTGACTTAATAGAAAATAAACTGGTGAGTTTGTACCTGAGCCTTTGCCATTTGTATGATTCATAATCAAATGAATTTTTACAAGCTGTAACCTCATTCCGTCTGCCTCCCAGAGTCCCCCTGGCATCATGAGTGTGCTGGATGATGTGTGTGCCACCATGCATGCCACCAAAGATGGAGCTGACATGACTCTGCTTCAGAAGCTCCAGAATGCGGTGGGGACGCACGATCACTTCAACAGCTGGAACTCTGGTTTCATCATTCACCACTATGCTGGCAAGGTGTGTGCTGCAACTTTTGTGACTTTTATTCCATGTGTGTTCTCTTACAAATAAATAAGTATACTTCAAGTTAATTTTATTATGTATACTCTATTAAATAATGAAAGGTGCATCCAATGCCCAATCCACAAAATTTGATATCATTTTTTGGGGTCTTAATGAGAGTCTGCAACATACTTTAGTTAAGATTTTGAATGGTGATACAAGCAAACACCTTTTCTCCCTGTCAAAAACACCTCAGTTCACATTGAGCCATGTCGGTTCATGTTTCCTTAAATGATATTGAGCTGCTGCTCGCTCCGCCCCTCCTTAAAGCCGGATTATGAACGGCTGTGGGTACCAATTCTAGAGGTAGAGCAAAACCTACTCACCACACACACACACAGCACTTAAACCGAGCCTCAAATGATGGTTTCCTTTTGCCTGTATTAACCAACTTGATGGAGCACTTGAAGTTGTTCTCACATTATAATGCTCAGCTGCAAAGTTTTATGGTTAGTGTAAAACCACAATACCACACTGACAAACACACACCTCTGAAGGATGATGATCTGATGCTACAGAGTGAACTGAAGTTAGCATCTGCTAACAATAACTGAACTTTACCAAAAACATTTATAATTATAAAAAATCTTAAATCTTTCAGACATATTCAAGGAACAGCTACATCCTTCTAATGTGAATCCTACATCCTACATACAATAATGTGAAGCTACATCCTTCTAATGGAATTCTAATGTGAAAATATGGTTTGAAAAGCAGCCTGGCGAACGCACAAGCGAGACTTTGCATTAGTATCTGACATGCAGTCTCAGACATGCAATCTCAGACACAATGCACTCAATACAGCTAGTGGCATCACTGTGAAGGGTGGGTTGGTTGCGGGTTTAGGTGTGTGCATTAAAAGCATTGCACGCAGCTTAGCTTGCACCTGCACCCTTCTGCAGCTAGACCCTTCTCAGATTTTGAGCACTCATTCTGGGATATTCCCTTCATATATAAAGTCAAGACATTTTGCGGGTGCCTCGGGCTTCATGGTGGTGCAGCGGGTAGCACGTTTGCCTCACAGCAAGAAGGTTGCTGGTTTGAGCCTTGGCTGGGTCAGTTGCCATTTCTGTGTGGAGTTTGCATGTGATATGCAAGGGTTTCCTCCGGGGTGCTCCGGTTTCCCCCACAAGTCCAAAGACATGTGGTAAAGGTGAATTTGTAGGCTAAATTGTCTGTAGTGTATGTGTATGAATGAGGGTGTATGAATGTTTCCCAGTAATGGGTTGCAGCTTGAAGGGCATTCGCTGCATAAAACAAATGCTGGGTAAGTTGGCGGTTCATTCTGCTGTGGCGACCCCAGATTAATAATGGGACTAAGCGGAAAAGAAAATGAATGAATGAATGCTGTTGCCTCAGCCTGCATGCCAGGATCGATTGACTCGATTTATTGTTGAAACACAAAGTAATGAAAAGCAACGCATATTTATGGATCATAAATAATATTATCCCTCTGTTTGTAGAAAGAGGTGGGAGAAGGATGAAGTCCATTGTTTGTTTTTTTTTTGGAGGTGTGCACTTTTTAATTAGTGTGTTTTTGTTTTATAATGTACAAGTTTTGTTATGGTTACACCTGGTGCCCACACTACTCGAAAATTGCTACTGCGAAATTGCTAAAGTTTTAGTTTGGAAATGCTTGGCTGCGTCCGAAACCGCATACTTCCATACTATATAGTACGCTAAAATCAGTATGTGAGCCGAGTAGTATGTCCGAATTCATAGAATTCGAAAATCAGTATGCGAGAAGTACCCAGATGACTTACTACTTCCGGCGAGATTCTGGAGTGCGCAACCCATGCACGCTGCGCTATCCCATAATGCCCCGCGAGAGAATTCATGAATGGAAGTGAAGCGACGCAAATGACGCAGGTAGATCATGTGACCATGACAAAATGGCGGATGTAGTACGTCCGAATTCCATTCATACTTTCCACATTCATACTGTATAGAACGTACTTTTCTAACGGCCGAGTAGTACGTTTAAATTCAAATGCAGTACCTACTGAGTAGTAGGCGGTTTCGGACGCAGCCCTTGTGTTCCATTTCAGTATAGACCAGGGATCACCAAACTTGTTCCTGGAGGTCCGGTGTCTTGAATATTTTAGCTCCAACCCTAATCAAACACACCTGAACAAGCTAATCAAGGTCTTACTAGGTATACTTGAAACACCCAGGCAGTTGTGTTGAGGCAAGTTGGAGCTAAACTCTGCAGGGCACCGGACCTCCAGGAACGAGATTGGTGACCCCTGGTATAGACGGACTGAAATGCAGACCTTTTAAAATGGAGGCTCGGCTATCTTAACAATAAATAGCTGCTCTCTGACTGGTCTTTTGGACTTTTGCAAATTGTTTCCTGATTTGTCAAACCATCCTCATATCACCATTACACAAGCAGTAGATGGCAAGTACGGTTAAAATGCACATATTCAGTGAGTGAGTGTGAATGGTCACGTTTCAAGTACTGTACATAGACCTTTTTCTTTGAACGTAAAATTACCCAGTATGCTTTGCGTGTACGTGTAAGGAGGATGCTTCAAACTTTAAAAACAACATCTGTCAGTCATTTACCATTACCATCAGATGGCATCTTGTGCCATTAAAATGGAGCATTGTCATCACAAAAGTGATCATTTTCTCTTTTTTTCTTATATAACCAACTCAAACAAATGTGATTCACTAAAATGTTTGACACACACACACATAGCCTGTACTGTCACAGTGACACCTGGATTGAAAGACTGGCATAAAAATTAAAATAAAGTGACATTTTGAAATGAAAGAAAAATACGTACCATGGTTCTGGCTGCAACACTTCTGAGGTGGCAGATACCATAGAAACCTAACTAAATACCAAAAAATTCTAGAAAAGTGAATAGTTAATCGGATGTCGCTGTTAAATATTAGCATACTTCAGTATACATGTAGCAGAGACCAGCTAGTGAAGTGCTGTGCAGGTAAACCTCACTCCTCTGACCTCTAAAGGTGACTCCCATGCAAAGAATCATTGGTTCGATCCCAGTTCAGAGCGGGTTGGGTGGTTTTTGAGATATTTAACATACTAAATTTTGAGTATATGGGAATGCAATGCAATTGCAAACATTTAAATGCTAGCTTTTATTCCATAGTATTCTTACATTTGTTCTTACTACCTTACCTTTATTCTTATGATTCAGGTGTCATACGATATCAATGGTTTCTGTGAGCGAAACAGAGATGTGCTTTTCCCCGATCTCATAGAACTGATGCAAAGCAGCCAATAGTGAGTGCTATTTTTCCTTTTCTGCCTTGTTCTAAACGTTGTTCATATTAAGATGTTTTATTTAGATTTGGTAAAAAAGAATGTAATGTAATGGAAAGCCAGAGAAACAATAGTATAAAGACAGATGAGCGTAATCAATTTCGCTTTAAATAAGTTCAACTGTTTTTCTCCTTCTGGAAAGCCCCAGCAAATTGACGTATCTCCTTTTCCCGTAACCTCAATCAACATGTTCCAAACAGCCAAAGTTATTTATTTCTTTGCCATTTCAGTGACTTCATCCAAAGCCTCTTCCCAGAAAACCTCAACACGGATAAGAAAGGTAGACCAACCACAGCTGGCTCCAAGATCAAAGTAAGAGCAGAGATCTCAATAACCTCAGCACACCTGTTAGATTTATTTCTATTTGGCGTCTTTTACTGACTGTCTGGTCCACAGAGGCAAGCCAATGAGCTGGTCAGTACACTGATGAAGTGCACACCGCACTACATACGCTGCATCAAACCCAACGAGACCAAGAGGCCCAAAGACTGGGAGGAGAGCAGGTATAATGTCATACTCGTGCAATATGATGACAGATATCATGCATGAAGCAAACCATCATGAATTTATTTTTCACGGCCCCAGAGCGAGACATCAAGTGGAATATCTCGGCTTAAGGGAAAATATTAGGGTACGACGTGCTGGATTTGCCTACCGTAGAATCTTCCCAAAGTTTTTACACAGGTGAGTAAGCTCGGAAAAAATATGTTTGGTTATAAAAATTCACAATCTTTGCAAATATGGACGTTTTAGTAGAAAAGCCGTCCAGGACTTGACTTAAGGCTCAATATATGTGTCAACAGGTTATTTGTGCAGTGAAATGTAGCTGTATTATGTGCTGCGCTCTTTCTACTGAAGATATAAAAGTGAACACAACAAAAATGGCAGCTGTTAAAAAAGCATCTGATTGTAGTGATGTGGATGTTTGCATTTCACCACTTTAAGGGATATTTCACTCAGAAATGAATATTCTGTCATCATTTACTCAGCCTTGACTTGCTTCAAACAAGATGGAGGTTTTTTTTTTTTTCAACACAAAAGAAGATATTGTGAAGAATGTTAGAAACCTATGACCATTGACATCAGTAGTAGTGTTATGATCACCAGCAATCTGCCAGGAGTGGATCGCTTGTAATCATAACATTACTACTGATTTCAACTACACATATTATACTACAAACTACAATTCTCTGAAATGTATATACATTACCATTAAATTATACAATTTACCATATTAGGTAATACTATGTTAGGTGTGCAAAGACAATGACACAGATCATAAAAATAAGCTTCTTTATGTTGGTCTCCTGTCATAACAGATCCAAAACGATAGGAATTAAGCTAAGCGAAGTTATGACTCTTATTTTTATCCACAATCTTACTTTATCTCAGATTTCACTGAGAATCTGACATGTACCTCACTCAGGACATGTGTTAGGGCTTCCCCAGGGCCGGCATGTATACAGAGGCGACCTAGGCGGCCGCCTAGGGCGGCAGTATAGAGAGGGTGGCATCCGCAACACCCCCCTTACCACTCGCGTCCTCAGTTATGTCCGCGACACCTCCCTCACCACCCGTGTCCTCAGATATATTTGTGCATAGGCGACAGAATAGAGAGGGCAGGGCAGCGTCAGTGACACCTCCATCAGCACCTGCGTGTCCTCAGTTAAATCCGCGCGTAGGGCGGCAGTATAGAGAGGGCAGCATCAGCGACACCTCCCTCCCTCCCTCCCTCAGCACCCGCGCGTCCTCAGTTATATCCACGCATAGGGCGGCTGAATAGAGGTCCGCGACACCTCACTTTATTTTCATAACCGGTCACTTTCGTTTTCACATTGGGGTTGAGGGTGGCGTGATCGTCCTCTGCCTAGAGAGGCAGTTCAGCTTGCTCCGGCCCTGGGCTTCCCTAATACACCTAAAACACGAATTGCCATAAAACTTGTCAATGGAATTTATGTAATTCTTTTTTCTTTTTTTTAACTATCATTTTCATTGCATCAGTACTTGCTGAAGTGCTTTGAGTCCACAGAATATTTTTTTCTTGAGGGACAAAAAAGTATACAAAGAAACAAACAAACAAAGTGTTTTCTGCAGAAAAAGGGTTAAACCAAAACATTTATCGATTTTATGCACACCATAATACCATAATAGGTACCGAAAAAGTCCCAGAGTAAAATGAGAAAATATGATACACCAGTGTTTTGGAATATGGAAAAACGCTGTGTCTTTACGCTGTTTTCATCTTTTTTTAAAATTATTTGTTTTTATTTTATTTATACTTGTTTCTTTTACTCTTGTTTACGTAAAGCACTTTTGCCACCGTGTATGAAACTTGCCTTGCCTTGCCTAAAGCCGACTGCACATGACATTTGGACACGACTGTCTCAATACGCCCCCTTGTGGCAGTCGCACAGTATTTTTAGTGTTGTCGTGCACCATGGGGGAGAAGCTGATTCTCACGGTGTCCAAAATAAAGGAGGGCAAATGCAAGAGCCTTTATTCTCTGTGCGTTTACATGGTTTAATGGATGAATGAATAGTAGAAACTCATAGACCGCTAAAATATTGGAGGGAATGTGGAGACAACATAAAAAATTTATATTTTTATAACTTTCTTACTTACATTTATGAACAGAAAAGTTTTTTTTTAATTTGGACTTTTACAAAAATAACCAAATAAACTCATATTTCTCATCTGCTTGGACAACACTGGAATACGTCATGTCTGGTCAGCAGGTCGCATACGCAGGAGTTCAAATATTTCAACGGATCCGCAGCTCAATTCGGATCCGAATTTTTCGCATACGGAGATGATCGGAACTCCACACAGCTCCAGGACTGCTCTCCATTGGAAATGAATGACTTCTGGTCTGTCGCTTGTCGTTTGTCATGTGCAGTGCAAAGGAGGCTTAATACCAGCCATTCATGTAAAACACAAATAATGTCCTTCAATTCAGTCATGTCCAGCGGCAGTTATCTTTTAGCCTCAAATCTCCATCATTCTTTTTCAGTCTGAAGCATGTCAATCGCCCAGTTCATGCCGCATGATGTCTAATCGCATCTTTGCATTGACTTCACATGTAAATCACCCATGATTCATTCGCTTCTGCTTACTGCACAGGCTGCAAAACAATTCCGCCTACTTCCGTGTAATGTCAGGATTGTGAGGGCACAAGTGAAACTTCATTTTTTGAGAGAAACTCAAATACATCACATGTGCTGTGTATGCAACGTCTATATGTCACATAAAACAATAAATTGCAAACTGAATAAATATAATTAGATTTTTTTTTTAAACGGATGTTTTATGAGATGATTTAAATGTTTTGCGAATTACTTTGCATTTAATAAAAAATTTAGCAGGATCACAAAAATTTGCCACTTTTTGTTGATTTTGCGTTGGATTCAGGGATTGCGTAATCGCAAAAAACTAGAGGGTCTGCTTTTTGTTGTATGCTTTTTTGCTGCCTGTACCGACCTCATGCCTATTTTATGACTACAATTTAAATTATCTGTATGTTCCTGTTTTGCTCCTGTATTGACCATTGCCTGTCTGTTCGACTAATCTTATTAAACTGGACTTGGATTTTTACTTTTGTGGTCCTCAACTCGCTTGCACTCGTGACAAGTAGGAAAAACAAATACTATGGAAGTCAATAGTTACAGGTTTACAACATTCTTCCAAATATCGTCTTTTGTTCAACACAACAAAACAAAACAAAAAAACTCAAAGTGGTATGGAACTAATCAAGGGTATCTAAATGATGACAGAATTAAAATTTTTAGGTCAACTGTCTCTTTAAGTCACATATATTTATAGACCACTCTCAATAGTAATAAAGTAATTGCTTTAAAGTGAGCAGCCTTACAGTATTGAACTTGAAAACCACAGTCAGTGTCGCTTTCAGTTAGGATTACAGCTTCAGTTTCTATTTTAAAGCACTTCTCCAAAGTGTTCATGTTTTTACTTGTGTTGGACCTGATCAGTCTGAACAGAAGGAATGACCCAGTCAAATATTCTCATGCCACAGAAGCAAAGCCTTACAGCTATATAAACTTATTACGTATACGTTCAGACCAATAGTACCTCAGCCACAGTGATCTTTTTCAGAAAGATTCCTGAAATAAAAGCTTCATTTTTGTTGATAAAGCTTTGATTATATTTACCCTTTAGCTCTAGTGTTCTAGTTAACTAAATGTAGGAACAAATAAATGAATCTCAGGTGCAAATCTCAGCAGAAATATCGCTGACTGTGTTAATCTCAGACATTGTTAATCTCAAGAGGGCTACTTTTAGAGATGATTTCCCAGATGTGTTTGCCTTAGTTCTAATATCTCGGGTAACTGAATCACACGTTTTGCTAGGTATGCCATCCTGACAGCAGAGACGTGGCCATGTTGGCGTGGAGCAGAGCAGCAGGGTGTTTTACACCTCTTGCGTACGGTAAACATGGAGACAGATCAGTACCAGATGGGTCGCTCCAAAATCTTCATCAAGAATCCGGAGTCGGTGAGGCTCAGAGTTAAAAAGTTGAACTCAAAACTCAGCAAATACCTAAAAAAGCTCTTGAATAAACAGTTTCTTGATTCGTGACGTAGCTCTTAAAGAGCATTTCTCATTTCAACTCCCGTTTCTTTAATCTGTAGCTATTTTTGCTGGAAGAGATGCGAGAAAGGAAGTTTGACACATTTGCCAGAACCATCCAGAAGGCGTGGAGGAAATACATTGCCAGGAGGAAATATGAACAAATGCGGGAAGAGGGTGAGCCTGTAAAACCAAGTGAATGGTTGTGTATTGCCTACATAAGCAGCATTGTAATGCTCATAAAACCTCATTAATTGAGCTATAAAGTACTAAACACACTGTAAAAATGCTGAGTTCTACACAGATTGATTTGAGTTGGGAAAATATGTAATTAAGTTAACATATTAGTTTTTACAAATTTAAGTGGATTGAACATAAAAGAATTAATTTGTCCCAAAAAAAACTCCAGAATTGTGTTGATTCAGCTCATTTTAAATAAGTAGTTTGAACAAACAGAAAACGTCATTTTTTTGTGCAGACACCGACTCAGTGTACTACAGAAACTGTTCAAAACCCATAAAAAAGCACTTCACATGTTGTTACAGTAATTATTATTTTTTTGTAAACTATATTGTATTAAATTGTGATGCCTTTTAAAATATTCATTTATGAATAAAAATACATTGTTCTGATCTACATTTCCTGTTTGGTAATTTAATGTACTTGATGTATGAGTCATGTTTTTTCTGTTTCCTTGCCATTTTTAGCCTCGGATATACTTTATAACTCTAAAGAACGTCGTAGGAACAGTATAAACAGGAACTTTGTTGGCGATTACCTGGGCATGGAGGACAGACCTGAGCTGCGGCAGTTCATGGCCAAAAGAGAGCGGGTTGACTTTGCTGACTCGGTTAACAAGTTTGACCGTAGGTTCAAGGTGAGGAATTAATGAGCGAAAGAGATTTTGAGTTTGTCATGGATGCATGAATGTAATCACATTTTTTGTGTGTGTTTGTGGACTGAATCTTTTCCTTTATTACTTATAATTATTTTTTTATTATCTACACTGTAAAACATATCTGCAAATTAAGTTTCAATATTTGACTGATGTTGACGTTTTAGTAGTTTGAAAAATATATAATGAATAAGAAATAATATATATATATGGAAATGAGTCAGTAAAATAATAGAAAAAGTACTGGAAGTTTTTTATTAGGTTTTTTCACTGTAGTTTATCATCAATTCAGACAAAATGTTACTTATTAATACTACTTATCAAATGTTTTTAGAGAAAAAAAACTCAAAGTGCCATAATGCAATTCAAAAGCATAAATAATAATAAAACAAAACTATCATGAATGACAAAAGACAGAAAACACATCATTTATGGATATTTTTACAGTGAATAGTTGTGAATGATGCTTAATACTGAGATACAGTTTTCAAGATTCTTTGATGAATAGTTCATTCATTAATAAAAAAATAGTTTATTCAAAACAAAAGTACCCAAATGTTATACCCAAGTGTTATGCAGCTTATGTTGATGAAAGTACATCATATTTTACTAAATATTTTTCAAGATACTAGTGTTCAGCTTAAAATGACATTTAAAGGCTTAACAAGATTAATTAGGCCAGTTAGAGTAATTAGACAAATCATTGTATAACGATGGTTTGTTCTGTAGACAATTAAAAAGAAAATATTGCTTAAGTGGTCTAAAAATATTGACCTTAAATGTTTAAACAAATTAAAAACTGCCTTAATTCTAGCCGAAATAAAACAAAAATGTCTTTCTCCAGAAGAAAAAAAAAAGCAATAATAGAGATTACTTTGACAAATTCCTTGCTCAGTTATTCATCATTTGGGAAGTATTTGAAAAATGTAAAAAAAAAAAAAAAAAAACAATTCACACCTAATAACTTTGACTTCTTTGACTTTTGACTAACTATTTTTATCCTAATTATTTGTATCTTGTTTACTTCTCTAGTCTATAAAGCGGGATCTAATACTGTCACCAAAATCCATCTACCTAATTGGTCGGGAAAAGATAAAGAAAGGACCAGAAAAGGGCCAGATAAAAGAAGTTCTGAAAAGAAGGCTGGACATCAGCGGCATCCGTTCAGTGTCACTGAGGTAAGTTTTAAAGTAGAAACTCTAGCTATGCGTGCAGTATATGAAAACAGATGGGCAAATCTGACTTTATAACTGTGTATGATTTATTTTCACTAATTTAAAATAATTATATATATATATATATATATATATATATATATATATATATATATATATTATATATATGCAATATGTGGAATCCCAAATCATCATGTGCGCTCTGACCAATCATATGATAGATGCATGTGATGCATTTTGTACTATTTGCGAAAGCCAATCCAACCAAGAAGAAGCAGTACCAGTTTTAATTTGTGTTTCAAAGCAAAGCAAACAATCTACAGCTGTGAAAAAAACACCCTTAAAATGCGGAGCCTAATTTGAAGAAGTTACACATTGCTCATTTAACAGGGAACAGCTGTGAAAAAGATTCCTAAATGTAGAAACATTCAACTTGTAAAAAAAAAAAAAAGTGTTTTCATGAACTACTTGTTAATGCAAATTTCTAGTCAGCCAATCACATAGCAGCAACTTAATGCATTTAGGCATGTAGACATGGTCAAGCACAACCATCTCTAGGGTTTATAGAGAATGGTCTAAAAAAGAAAAAATATCCAGTGATCGGCAGTTCAGTGGGCACTGGGCACAAATGCCTTGTTTATGCCAGAGGTCAGAGGAGAATGGCCAGACTGGTTTAAGCTGATAGAAAGGCAACAGTAACTCAAATAACCACTCGTTACATCCGAGGTATGCAAAAGAGCATCTCTGAACCCACAACACGTCCAACCGTGAGGCGGATGGGCTACAGCAGCAGAAGCCACTCCTGTCAGCTGAAAACAGGAAACTGAGGCTACAATTTGCACAGGCTCACCAAAATTGGACAATAGAAGATTGGAAAAACGTTACCTGGTCTGATGAGTCTTGATTTCTGCTGCAACATTTGGATAATTGAGAATTTGGCATCAACAACATGAAAGCATGGATCCATTCTGTCGTGTATCAACGATTGATACAAGGCCGGTAGTAGTGTAATAGTATGGGGGGTATTTTCTTGACACACTTTGGGCCCATTAGCACCAATTGATTCAGAATCAATGCCACAGCCTACCTTGTATTGTTGCTGACCATGTCTATCCCTTTATGACCACATCTTCTGATGGCTACTTCCAGCAGAATAGCGTGCCATGTCATAAAGTGCGAATCATCTTAGACTGGTTTCTCCAACATGACAATGAGATGACTGTACTCAAATGGTCTCCACAGTCACTAGATCTCAATCCAATACAGCACCCTTGGGATGTGATGGAGCGGGAGATTCGCATCATGGATGTGCAGCAGACAAATCTGCAGCAACTGTGTAATACTATCATGTCAATATGGACCAAAACCTCTGAGGAATATTTCCAGTACCTTGTTGAATCTATGCCACGATGTGCTAAAGCAGTTCTGAAGGCAAAAGCGGGTCTAACCCAGTACTAGTAAGGTGTACCTAATAAATCGGCCGGTGAGCGTAAGTATATCTAAGCTGTAGAAAAAGTACAATTCTATTATATGATTCTATTCTGTTAAAAGTATGTGATCCAAATGGATGGACGTTTTATATGAAATCTTATTTGTTAGGCCTACATTTTTTGAGTGTACTTGATCCACAGCAGTGCTTGCAAGCAGATTTATTACTGCATGCCCAAAAACAAGCTGCCAGACCACCAAACAGCAGAAAAGCTGATACGGAAGTTTTGCGGAGACTAAATGCAACAAGCTAAAAGGAAATTATCAAAAAGGAAATGAGTTAATATTTATGGCTGCTCAGTTCTTCTCGTCTGCCTTATATGTCAAGAGTGAGAAAGACTGAAAGTATGGGGGGTTTTGAGCAAGAGGAGAAGGATTGTGATCATCTTCCTTTTATGAAGATGATTTATGATGTTGTATAGTAGGGTAATGTGGAAATCAATTACTGAGTCAACAATGGGATTTTCATCAGTCAAGGTCTCTGTTATCTCCTCCGCTCTCCTCTCTTCTTTAATTGCTCAAAATTCTTCTTTAGTAAATAAGTTGTCTGTTGAACTGTGAAGCCTGGCTGAAGATTCAATATAATTTACTCTTAAATGATCATTGGCAGGGTTTCTTCTTATCATTAAGAATGCACTAATCTTTTTTTTATTTTTCATAGAATTATAAAATTGCATAATGCATCTATTACTATTAATATGATATATTGAATTGTATCTTTTAATATCATGCTAAAAGTAACAGTTCACTCTGTTTTCACTCAAAATTTAAATTAATAACTATTTTGTCAGCATAAATCTATTAATTGTGAAATGAATCTTTATTTTTTTAATAATAATTATGGGTTTTTATTCTGATGTTTAAGGAAACTTTATGATATTATGCAATATTTATACAGTAGTCAATTATGAGCTTTTTTCTGATAGAAGTGTAATATTCCAAGCTAAAAAAGTGAAGACCATTAAAGAGACTCTTTCTATTGAGAACAGTGCCCTCTGGAGGTTTTAAAAAATATGTCACGAAAGTTTGTGAGTGTTTGTGGTTTGTATCATGAAAACACTGCAACTCTAAAAATCTTTTTTTAATTTATTTCCAGTGCTGGTCATTTGTGATTGGTATGGTGCCAAGTGTGATTTCGCCAAGTATAAGGCGATTCTGGATTAGCATCTATGTTGATCATTGCTCGAAAACGTAGTTCGAAACATAGTTAAATAGGGAATATATAGTTTAGAATTATATATATATATATACACAATGCTGGAAAGTTCATTCACATTCTCTTCAGTAACTGTAAATATGAATATTTACATTTAGTCATTTGGCAGACACTCATGTCCAAAGCGACCTCCATTGAGCAGACATTCAGCAAATCAACACGAAGAGGCCGTAAACACAGTGCTATTTACACAAAGGAGCTGTTGGTGCTCAGAGAATTAAATGCGTTTTATTGTAATAATCTTTTTTATTCCCTGCAGCACAAGGCAAGATGACTTCTTCATCCTGCACGAGACTGAGTACGACAGTCTGCTGGAGTCCATGTTCAAGACTGAGTTCCTGACACTGCTGTGCAAACGTTACGAGGAGCAAACCCGAAGCAAACTCACACTGTCTTTCAGCGACAGGTGCCCATTATCCTCCATCTCTCTCTCTCTCTCTCTCTCGTACCACTCAAGATGATGCTTATGTTTTGTGCAGGCTGCAGTTTAATGTGAAGAAAGAGGGATGGGGAGGAGGAAGCACACGAATGGTGGTGTTTCAGAGAGGACAGGCCGATGAAGCTGTCATCAAAGCCGGAGGAAAGACCCTCACCGTCAGTGTTGGAGATGGACTGCCAAAGACATCCAGTATGTGGGAGGCATGGATGAAGAGGGTATTCAGCATCTGTACATTGAGTTTACTACTCTTTTTGTTTCTCTACAGAGCCGACTAGGAAAGGCATGCCTCAGAGTCATGGAGGAAGAAGCCAGCCACAGCACAGAGGTAGGGAGACTCTGAATTTTAATAACTAATGTGCTTTTCACACTGCGTTCTTTGTCACTGATGGGAAGATTCATATTTGCAGTTGCGAAGTGTATTTGGAACTGTTTTACTTAGGGTTTCAACATGGATTATTAAACCCACGTTGCACAGTCAAACATGTGCAGAGGGAAAAGATATAGTTAAGGAATTTTAGAAACTGATAGCCAATGCACCTTATGCAGAGAAACTTTTCATTCTAAATAAACTCATCCGGGCGCTGCTGGTAAACTGTTATGCTATTAGAAACTCACGATTAAAAGCTAATTTTACAAGTCCACTAGAGCGGGGGTTCCCAAACTTTTCAGCCCCTGACCCCAAAATACCAATGACAGAGACTCGTTACCCCTAATATCCTCTGTGGTGGTTATAAATATATCAGTGTTGAAAATCTATCAGAGATCATCCTCATTGTTCAGTTTTTTTTTTATTATGTGAGTGTTGTAAAGCCAAGGTGTCAGAAAGTTTAACCTGGTGACACGAAATCAATCTGCTGCATCTGACAGTATTGTGTGTTTTTAATCTAACGTTATGACCTCAGGGGTCACAATCCAATGGAATAGAATGTGCATGTTGTTTTGTTGATGTTACTATTAACATCTGTAAATTATGGATAAAATATGGACATACTAATATTCATTCATTCATTTTTTTTTCGGCTTAGTTGGAAAGATGTCCTTCCAACGGCAACCCATTTCTGGGAAACAGCCATACACACTCACCCACACACATACACTACAGACAATTTAGCCTACCCAATTCACCTATACCACATGTCTTTGGACTTGTGGAGGAAACTGAAGCACCCCGAGGAAACCCACTGCCAACAAGGGGAAAACATGCAAACTCACACAGAAATGCCAACTCACCCAGCCGAGACTCGAACCAGCGACCTTCTTGCTGTGAGGCAACAGAGCTACCCACTGCGCCGGCCAATCATACTAATAATTTAATGAAATTAATTCAATTTTTGGAAATAACCGAGTGACCATGCACTAATAAATAAACCTTAAACAATACAAAAGAAGATACATTACATTCAGGGGATCAGTCCATATAAGTTGAGAATCGCTTAGAGAGCTTTGACGCACATTTTGTTTTTACCTTGCGTTTGACTATCACATTGTGAAATTTGCCATTTTTATGAAAAACAAAGAAATTGAATTTCTGTGTAATAATATGTTGATTGGAGCAACATTTATATTCACAAATGTAGATTTGTTAAAGTTTCTCCATTTTATATAAAAAGCTTTTGAGGTACAACTAGAGCATGCTTAATATAATCAAGCACACTTTTATTTCACAAGAGAAAACTCTCTGAGAGGGAAAACACCTGGGGAGGACCCAAAGCTCAAAGCAGAAACATACTGTACAGGCTGGCCCTCAGGAATACATAATGAAAAACTGAGAGCACTAGCAGTTCTCGCTGCTGTAATAATTAGTATTTTAAGTTTTCTAGTCTCTGGTTTGCATTTGTTAGAATAGAAAAAAACTGATGCTCCAACTGTGTATTTCTTTACAGGCGGGCATCAGAATGGGGCAGCGCAGTTTCACCGGGGTGGCGGTCAGCAGCAGCAGCAAAAGGAAGTGACGTACTCTATGCCAGTGAGGCACAATCCTCCACCCAGCAACCCTCTAAAATTGGGCTCGCAGAAGAATCAAAGAGGCTCGAGGCCGGTTCAGAATCAGTCCACAAACCTAGACTTCCTCAATGTGCCTGATCAGGGCATGTCTGGGTAAGCGAACTGTACAAGCTTCTTTATATTATATTAAATTATATTATATTATATTATATTATATTATATTATATTATATTATATTATATTATATTATATTATATTATATTATCTTTCAATTGAGAATCTCACTATTTTGCCTTTTTAACAGAATAATTTTATATTTTACTATTTGTCTTGATATTCTAAATTTCTTTGTTCAACATTTGAACTTTTTTATCCGAATACTAATACTGGGTTTACACAAAATGCATAGCACTGCGTCACTCACTCTCGTTTACTCAGGGGATGTTTTTTTCCTTTTATATACATTATTAGCTTAAGTTTTAAATTGTTTAAACTTTGCGAAAGACACAATTGAGGTAAATTCTGTGTGTTTGCAACAAATGCGTCACACATTCCACATCATAAGCGCTGCAATAATTTGCGCATTTGCATTGATTTGTATGTTATTTTTACATTTGATGTTAAGCCAGCATAAGATTACAGATTACATCTTACAATTCTGACTTTTTAAGAAATATTTTTAAGAAATATTCAGTTTTCCCCAAAATACAATGAAAAAATTCTCTAAAAGTCTAAAAGTTAGAAAAAATGTATAAGTCTTCTAAGAGAACATTTACAGTTAGTCAGAATTATTAGCCCCCCTTTTAATTTTTTTTTTCTTTTTTAAATATTTCCCAAATTATGTTTAATAAAGCAACACATTTTCACAGTATGTCTGATAATATTGTTTCTTTTGGAGAAAGCCTTAAGGCTCCTACACACCGGGACACTTTTCGTTTGCGTTTATCGTCAACGTTGTACGAGACGTTTTTCCGCATTCAAACCCAAGCGATGTTCAATGGCGTCAAGCAAAAGACTATGCAAAATTGCTTCTTGACGTTAGATGGCGCTACACAACTTTTATTCAAAAGAAGGTAATGATTCGCACTCAATTGCTTCATACTGTTTTTATACTTACTTTTTCTTACATTTTACGGGTGATAACAGACAAACAGACGTTTCGGCACAAAGCCTTCCTTAGCTACACAACTTTTAAAAATTATGCTTTTGCACCTGCTGTTTTGCACGATCACTATATGGACTCCTTTTATATAGTCACCAGGCGTTAAACGTTGATGGAAAACGCGAGCAAAAAACTTCTCGGTGTACACGAGTCTTAATTTGCTTTATTTTGGCTAGAATAAAAGCAGTTTTAAATATTTTTTTATATTTTCAATAGTCTACAGAACAAACCATCATTGTACAATAACTTGCCTAATTAACCTAACCTGTCTATTTAACCTAATTAACCCAGTTAAGCCTTTAAATGTCACTTTAAGCTGTATAGAAGTGTCATGAAAAAATTTAGTCAAATAATTTTTACTGTTATCATGGCGAAGATAAAATAAATCAGTTATTAGAAATAAGTTATTAAAACTATTATGCTTAAAAATGTGTTGAAAAAATCTCTTCGTTAAACAGAAATTGGGGATAAAAATAAACACAGGGGGAATAATTCAGGGGGCTAATAATTCAACTGTATGTACATTTAGAAACATCCCAAAATGTAGTTTGTCAAAATACTAAATGAAATGTAAAACTCCCCAGCATGCAGCGGAAAAAGAGTATCAGCCAGCGTCCTCCTCCGGCCCCCTCTAGCCGGCCCAAACCTCAGGCACGACCACAGGGCCCACGATGCCGAGCGCTTTATCAGTATTTTGGCCAAGATGTAGATGAAATCAGTTTTGAAGTCAACGACATCATTGAACTCCTCAGTGAAGGTAAGAACTAGAAATGAGACTGTGAGAAGATTTTGTTTGAGACTGGTTGTACTTTCTCTAACATTCCTCCGGGTCTCCTGCAGATCAATCAGGATGGTGGCGAGGAAGAATTCGTGGGAAAGAAGGACTTTTTCCTGGAAACTATGTGGAGAAGATCTAAAGAGGTAGACCTGCACCCTAGATCCATGGTTCTAAACTGGTTTGGCCACAGGACCCACATTTTCTCATGGTCATTGAACACAAGCATCGCCCCTTATTGAAAGAATATTGTTAATAGTGATGAATCATAATTAAATAGCAGTTACAAACTAGCTTTTGCTGATGCAATAACATTAGTAAACTTTAGTAACAGAATAACAGCTGACAGGTCGAGAAAGATTATTGCCGCATCTCATCTGAAACGGAGAATGTGTTTTCACACACATGAAGCGCATCTAACAAGAAACATTAAAAGCTTTCACACACTTCTTTCAAAAAGTCACGAACTAACAGTTGAGAAGCAGATCATGAAAATCTCTGAGATTTTACACTTCAAGCCACAACGAGATCAGGGAATCGTTTTGTTTGTTTTTCTTGCTGAATTTTATACTGTTTTTTAAATACTGTTTTTACTAAAATTAGACTAGTTTTTTTAAGGAGTAGCAAATACCGTTTACAAAGACTCTGCACTGTCCACAAATGACCACTTGACTGCACTGTTTTACAATTAGAAAGATTTCCAAGAGCATTTTTCATACCAGGGAAGGGAGGAACAGCAATCACTGCTTTTTTGCTTCAATTTTAGTGTAATTTCTTGAAATCTGTGTATGTAAAAAATAGAAAACATTTTCTATGCATTGTTTTGTAATTTTATATGGTCTTCTGTGTAAAATCTTCATTCAGAGAAATTCTCAATTGATTTTTGATGTTGATGTCTTATAGCAGTATTAAAGAGAGCTTTGTTTGAAAGTGTATTAGTGCTGTTCTCTATTAAAATATGTAAAAATAAATAAAATATGCTAGAATAGGTCCTAGCATAAAATAGTTATAAGAAATATAAAAAATAAATAGCAATAACAGCCTATTGCTTAATTCTGGTCTAATTTTCTGAAAGCTATATACACTATCTGACAAAAGTATTGTCGTTGTTTCCAGTTGTAAGAACAACAAATTTTGTAGAAGGCAGATTTTTCTGATGAATCATCTGTTGAACTGCATCCCAATCATCACAAATACTGCAGAAGACCTATTGGAACCCACATAGACCCAAGATTCTCACAGAAAACAGTCAAGTTTGGTAAAGGAAAAATCATGGTTTGGGGTTACATTCAGTATGGGGGCATGCGAGAGGCAACATCAACAGCCTGAGGTATCAAAACATTTGTGCTGCCCATTAAATTACAAACAACAGGAGAGGGCAAAATCTTCTGCAGGATAGTGCTCCTTCTCATACTTCAGCCTCCACATCAAACCTCAGGAGAAGCAAAGAATGTCAAGGTGCTCCAGGATTGGCCAGCCCAGTCACAAGAAATTAACGTTATTGAGTATGTCTGGGGTACAATGAAGGAGGAGGGATTGAAGATGAATCAAAAGAATCTTGATGAACTCTGGGAGTCCTGCAAGAAAGCTTTCTTTGCCATTCCAGATGACTTTAGATGAAGTTATTTTAGTCAATCCAGAGATGAATGAATGCAGTCGTCCAAGCTCATTAGACAGTACACAATATTAATTCTTTTTCCTCTGCAGCATTACTTTATATTCTATACTGTACATTATTTCTGTTAAGTGACAAGACCTTTGTCTAAGCAAAGTCAGACTTCACTGTCCTAATGAAATAGTTAAATCAAGGCATGATCATATTTTATTTTGGTAAAATAAGCGTAATCTATAGGACTTTGCCTTTCATATAAGCAATTTCTAATACCAAATGATCAACTAGAAGTCAAGTTATTATTTGTTGTTTCTAAAACTTGGATAGGCAACAAGACTTTTGTCAGGAAGTGTTTGTAAGCAAAAGCAACATTTCTGCATTTTTTGTTCAATTTATATTCTTTTCTGTGTAAAAAATATAAATTGATGTCTGTGATAACAGTACTAAAACATCATTTGAAAAAAGAAAAGTGACGAGAAATGTGTTCTTGACAGTCTGGATTTCAAGTTTTCTGTTGTATATTGTCTCATAAGTACTGTATGCACAAAATATGGAAATATGTGTAATACATCATTTACAATGTGCAAATAATGAACTATAAATGAATATTGTTCCTTATCAGATCAAGTTCACTCTGATCAAGCTTTGTTGATATTGAAGATCATGATCAAGTACGAATGTGTATTGGAAGTATGTAGTTATTTCCTCCAGGCTGTGAAAACTTCGCTTTGCCTCTTGGCCAGAAAACCCGTTGTTCCAGCAATTTGGAGTCCAGCCTAAATAACTTCACCATGTAGGAAACACGATTTTTCTGTCTTCCGTTTCCCCTCTTTTCTGTTTCTGTACATGCTTTTAATGTGATGTTTGGATTGGATTTGAATCAGAATAGAGGTGATTAACCAGTATTACATAAAGGCGAACTGCAGAAACGGCTGGGAGGACTGGTTGAGCAGGTGAGTTCAGACTGAAATTCATCTGAACAGGTGCACAGAGACACTACAACACCAGCGAATATGAGAGTCAGTCCTCATTTTCCTTGCTAAACATTTATGCAAAGTCCAGCATGTTGCTGAGTGTGAAAACAAATACAGATTTAAACCCGGTGTTTGCATCTGAGCTTTTTGAGGAATAACCACAGCAGGTTTAATGCTAATCTGCCTTCAAATGTTTGTACTGTACAATGTATGTTTCCCTGCCGGTCTTTGTGTCTTTTACTGGCCAACTTAAATTACCCATAGTAACCGGTAAACAAAATACCTGTCAGTTGTTGTTGTTACTGTTCTACACTGCTGTAGAGCTTCAAGATCATTTTGTCATATTTTTAAACATGATTTCATATGTCATGTTCAAGTTGATTAGTGTGTTTGTCAGGTTAAATCAAATTCAATGTGTTTGTAGTACATTTTAGCATATATTAAAATAATATATTATGAAATTTACTACTAACAAAGCATGTTTTGCACTAAATACCCGAAAATATACACAAAAAGGTGTCATGTTTTCAGATGTTTTTATTTATTTCCAGGCAACACAAAGCCAATGACTTGAGATGTGTAAAGAAATCAGTTTATAAATCAGATTTTCTGTTCCACAGATGAAAACATTGCCATATTAGTTTGAGGAAAAAGCAAAAAGATGTAAATGACATCAATGTTATTTGAAATGTTCAAACAATGTTATCAGAGCTATATAGGAAAAAGGCTGTGTTTATATGAATGGTGAGGACCTGAAGTCAGGTTTAAAACAAACAAAAAACGAAACAAATAAATGTGAATTGTTAAATTAATTATTAAGGAACGATATAAAGAATTCAGATGCAAAGTCCTCCAAGTGCCATCTGGCATTTTCTTTTGAACTGGGGATAGTTAACTCAAAAAATGAAATCTACTCTCTAGTCTTCCTCAAGTGCTTTCAAATCTTTAAGTTTCTTTATTCAGTTGAACGCTAAAGACATTTTGAAGAAAGCTGAAAGAAAGCAGACTTCCTCAGAAAGAAAGACAAATACTATGGAAGTCTATGGTTACAGGTTTCCAGCGTCCATCAAAACACCATTCAACAGAAAAAAGAAAGACAAACAGGTTTTGAAGTGAAGGACAAGTTGGTGAAATTATGGCAATGAAAATACTGTATTTATCAGGATAAGGATTATTAGCACTACAAAGTGCCTTTGAGAGTTTTAGAGAGTTTTGTTTATTTAATTGATTAAACAATTAATTGTTACTCAATTCATATTTGTTGAATTTAATTTATAAAATTGCTTGTAATCTGTTACCTCAATTTTATTGAGTAGATAGAGGGTATTATTTATTACAGTGTGCACACTGTGTGCACATCAGATGTTTTAACCACCTCTAAAGAAAGGCAAAATGGGCATGGGGATGCCAATGAGTAAATAAGGGGGCATTTACCACATCATGACAGGGTGGAAAGCAATTTCAAGAACACATGCAAAATGATTAATAATATTATGAAAACAAAACATAAAAGTTATCAAAATGACATATCTGATCAAATAACTTGTTAGAAACAATAAGAAGATTTAAAAATCTTTTTAATTTGATCTAATTTACCTACTTTTTAGACTCACTGAAGTTGGCTGTTCAGTGTGGGACATGACAAAGTCACATCCATTTAATGAAAGAATATGGCAAAAATGGACAAAAACATATTTCAAAACACTTATAATTTTACCTGCATGTGTGTGAGTATGAAACTAGATCAGTCTCAAAAATAATACATTTATAAAATACAATTCATACATCCACAGCACAATTCACATTAACAAAATCCAGTTTGTCAGTTCAAAACACAATTCGTAAATACACAACTTTGTAAATGTGAATTGTGCTGTGGATATAGGCTATGAATTGTCTTTCTTTAATGTGTTATTTTTGAGACTGATCTAGTTCCATATGTAAAGGCTTAACCAATTATATTAAAACATCAGAATTTAATTATTTCACATTATGTTAATATGATTGATTCAATCTTTATGACTGATTTCTGCACTTTATGGTGATAATGACCCATAAAAGTAAAGATTACTGAACCGGAGCTTAAGAAAATGCTTATTTTGGAAGAAAATGTCAGATGGTAGAGGATTTTGCATCTTAACAATTGATAACCCACCTTTATACAATGTTGTAAACCTAAATAAATAAATAAATGCTATTAAAATGTTTGATTTTCGAAAAAATAATTTCCCAGTTCTGAGAACAGCTGGGGAAAATATGGCTATGGTCAATATTTATGTAAGAGGTGCTGTAAAGCCCACACTTTCCATTTGAAGTGGTTTCATTTTAGCGAATGCATTAAATAGAGAAATTGTAGGTAAATGTCGCGGTTAATGGGCCGAATGGCGTCAGAGAGTCGACAGGTGAGCTGCAGGTAAACTTGACCTCAGCTTGTTAAACCTGTGCCGCGGCTCGTGCCAGCCGTTCACATGTAAAACCGCATGATTCTGGTCTGTCCGCATAGCAAGCTGACAGCAAGATACAGTGGCTCAATTGAGAAATGCCACCGTTCGCTCGGTTTCACCTGAACCCTCCACAGGTGATGTCAGAGACCGGGACCCGAGTAACAGGATCGGGGACATTTCTCCTCTACTTAAACCTGACACATGGAGCGCTCGGCGGTGGATGCGTTTTCCAGAGGTAAGAGAAGGTCTACTGCTTTTTATCCTTTGGCTGTTATCGACTAGAGAGCGTTTATATAAGACAGTTATGTTAATCGTTAGCGCTTATGGTAGTGTTTGTTTGCTTTCCCTGTAAGTCTGTGCTGTGCTCCCCTACCAATTAATTCATTATCCAGAGGATTCACTTTTCCCAGCTCAATGATGCGTGCTCTGCGGGGTAATGATAGGCCCACAGAGCGGATACAGCGCTAAATGTGTGGTGGTTATTTGATCTTGCTGGGTTTGTGATATTGTATCTACAATGTGTGATTGAAAGAGTATTGATTTAAAACAACCACGTGATCTTTATGACAGTTAGTAGTTTAGTACACTACTGTCAGCTGGATATTTATATATTTTTTATTGAAACGTACTGCACTATATGGCACACACAATCAGTGTGCGAATTATATATATATATATATATATATATATATATATATATATATATATATATTGATGGGGGGTTAAACTTATTCAGTAGTAGTTTCTTTTTTTAGGCTACATGCAGATATAAACACCAATTTTACAAGAAATGTGTTTTGTGAATACATATTACTTAGGCTACATGTTTTGATGTGCTTCAGCGGGATCAAGCATTAATTAAGGGGGTCAATCGACCCAACCCCCCTGTAATTCGCACCTTGCACACAATCACTATGAAAACCTCATGAGATCATAAAGATGACTTTGTGGTGAAAATGGAAACAATAACCGTCACCAAAAGTAACTTTGTTGCACTGTCAAGCAATTGCTGGTAAAGAGGTAAAGAGAACCTTTCAGAAGCGTTCAATTTCAATTCAAAACGATTTTGAATCCTTTAGCGAGTCGATTTTTTTTTTCTTGAAATAATTTGTTCTCTTATTCCTTTGACGGTAGATGACGACAAATGTGTGTTGTTTGATACTAAATCATTTGCTTACTGAAACGCCTTTTCATGCCTGAAATGCCACTCATGCAATTTCTTTATAATATTTTTCTCTGCTGTCCTTCCATTCACACTGACACCAATAACAGAAACAAAGATTTTTAAAAAGCTGCTCTGGTGGAAGTGAGTGTAGATTTACATTTTTTTTACAATATAGAAAACATTCTGTAGAGTGCCCTTTGAAAACATGTATGACTTATAGCACGGTGCTCAGCAAACCATTCAGCAGGATTTTACACTTCTTTTTTTATGCAGAAATGAATGAACCTCCCTTTAGAGATGATATAAGACATGTATTTTGTTAAAAAATATAATGAATAAAAACTTTTATTTCTGCATTTTTAAAATCATTTTAAAGAGATAGTTTAACCAAAACTGAATATACTCATTCATTTATTTACTTTTTTGTGTCACAAAAGAAGTTACTTTGAAGAACGCTGGAAACCAGTAACCATTCTCTTCCATAGTATTTTATTTTCTACTAATGAAGTCAACAGTTACAGGTTTTCAGCTTTCTTTAAAACATATTTATTAGTGTTTAATGGAAATTAGGTGACATGGTGGCATAATGAATAGCGCTCGCAGCAAGAAGGTCGCTGGTTTGAGTTCCAGCTGGGCCAGTTGACTTTTCACTGTGGAGTTTGCATGTTGACGTGGGTTTTCTCCAGGTGCTCTGGTTTCCCTCATAGTCCAAAGACATGTGCTGAAGGTGAATTGAATAAGTTAAATTGGCCGTAGTGTATGTGTGTTTGTCCTGGACCTTCAGATTTGGGGGTTGAGCGTTGGGCTAACAACCCACTACATATAAACTGGATGTTAAGAAACACCAACATTGCAGCTAAATATCCACTTTGATATAAATGGCCCTGCAGTGTTTAACAGAAGGAATAAACTCATAAAGGTTTGAAAGCACTTGAGGGTGAGTACATAGTGAGTAAATGTTCATTTTGATGTGAACTGTCCCAGAGATCAAATGTCTGTCTAGCACATAAACTTCTTTTAAGCACTGAACTGGAATGCAGTAAATTAGCTTGACCGACTTGAACTCTGTAAAGAAACAAATACTTGATCATATGAATTCCACCTACAAAAACATGCCATAAAGTGTTAAAAGTCACCACACCTTAAGCTGTAAACACACAGACAGAAAAGACTGGATTATCCTTTAATAAGATTTGAGTGCCTCCACATCTACTAGCGACTCCAGAAAGGTAGAGATTTGCTTTTGTTCGGTAGCTCCATTGTGTCACAATAGAGTCCGGAACAGTCCTCTGTGTAAAGACAACAAGCTTTGGCACCATGGCAAGGGTTTTGTTTCTCAACACAGAGATGTATTTTTGACATATCATTATAAAACACTCTCTCCCTTTCTCAGGTATCCCCTCATTTCCATCCTTTGTCAAAATGGCAGGCGTGTTTTCCTACGAGAGCTCTGAGGTGGACTGGTGTGAGGACAACTATAAACATTCGGAGAATGTTGTGGAATATTTCAACACGGTATGAGCATGTTAACACAAATCTTTTTACACTCCAGCACAGTTTCAATCCAGCAGCTATAATACCAGAGGAATCCCATTCAAGGCCATGCTAACTATGCTAATTGCTGCAGTCTCCATGTCATAATGCTAAAAGTGCCATGGTTTCATCCAGAAACTACACCCACATTAATGAGACTGACTCAGCAACGTTACACCTATCCATCTGCACAATAAGCACCAATTCAGCCCAATCAGGTTTTACTCATAGTCCTACCTCATTCAAAAAGCCAATACAAAATGGGCAGAAGTCAATATGGTTGCTATAATATCAAATGTTGTTGAGTGTTTGATTCACATTTTTTTTCACTTCAGATGAGCAGTTTCATCTTCTTTGTGATCTCACCTATAATGCTGTACCTGCTACACCCGTATGCCAAGGAAAGGAACCTGGCTGTGCATCTGGTCTGGATCATGATGGTGTTTGTAGGTAAGTGTGACAGTGGATCAAAGAAGGGCTGTGCTGTTAGTAATCCAGCAGGGGGCAGCATTGCTTAATATCCAGGTCTACTCTATGGGTCAGAAGGGGCAAGAAACAGTTCTTGTAAATGTATTTTATTCCTCTGTATATTTTATGTTTCTTTGAGCAAACAATAAGAACTATCATATTCATGTGTATGAGACACCAAATGACATTCTAGTGGATGATTTATGTTTTTAAAAATACCCAACGAGACATTTATTGGTAAAATAAAAAATAAAATAAACATTTGTGACACCTTCTAAGGCATCCACTAGACCGTCATTTGGTGTCACAATAGTTTATATACCAATAAATGTCTTGTTAGGTATATTCAGAAAAATAATCTAAATATAAAAATAATAATAATAGATAAATCAAAAAATAAAAAGTATAGCCAAGGTGTGATTGCAATGCCTTGGTTGGGGACTAGTTTGTCTAGGTTTGTTACAGGGTAAAGGTTTGATTCTGTACAGAGATACTCTATTTTGTAATTGTTTAAGAATCAATAAAACTGTTATTCACTAAGAATGTTTTTATTTATTTAAAATTTAGTATGATAATATATGCTTTATATATTTTAATAAATACATGTGAGAATAAGGGTTGTTTTACGAATGAAAGTTGAAAATAAATATAATTGTAATGTTGAATCTTGAAACATTATATCACCAATAATTTGACACATTTCCTGCATTAAATATATTTTCTATGTATGTTAATAATTCATCATGTTATATGAAATGCAGCTAAATAAATTGAACAATGTTTATATGAACAAAAAAAATGCTAAAAACCTTCAAATATATACTGACCACTTTTTAGGTACACCTTAGTAATACTGGTTTGGACCCCCTTTTGCCTTCAAACTGCATTAATCCTTCGTGGCATAGATTCAACAAGGTACTGGAAATATTCCTCAGAGATTTTAGACCATATTGACATGATAGCATCACGCAGTTGCTGCAGATTTGATGGCTGCACATCCATGATGCGAATCTCCCGTTCCACCACATCCCAAAGAAGCTCTATTGGATTAAGCTCAAGTGACTGTGGAGGCCATTTGAGTAGAGTGATCTCATTGTCATGTTCAAGAAACCAGTCTGAGATAATTCACGCTTTATGACATGGCATGTTATCCTGCTGGAAGTAGCCATCAGAAGATGAGTACACTGTGGTCATAAAGGGATGGTCATGGTCAGCAACAATACTCAGGTAGGCTGTGGCATTGACATGATGCTCAATTGGTACTAATGGGCCCAAAGTGTGCCAAGAAAATGTCCCCCATACATAACACCACCACCAGCCTGAACCATTGATACAAGGCAGAATGGATCCATGCTTTCATGTTGTTGACGCCAAATTCTGCCCCTACCATCCGAATGTTGCAGCAGAAATCGAGACTCATCAGACCAGGCGATGTTTTTTCAATATTTTTCTTGGTGACCCTGTGCGAATTGTAGCATAAGATTCCTGTTCTTAGCTGACAGAAGTGGTGTGGTCTTCTGCTGCTGTAGCCCATCTGCCTCAAGTGTTGTTTATTCGGACATGCTCTTCTGCATACCTAAGTAGTAACAAGTGGTTATTTTAGTAACTTTTGCCTTACCATCAGCTTGAATCAGTCTGGCCATTCTTCTCTGACCTCTGGCATCAACAAGGCATTTACACCCACAGAACTGCCCCTCACTGGATAGTTTCTCTTTTTCAGACCATTCTCTGTAAACCCTAGATATGGTTGTGCATGAAAGTCCCAGTAGATCGGCAGTTTCTGAAATACTCAGACCAGCCCATCTGGCACCAACAACCATGCCACATTCAAAGTCACTTAAATCACCTTTCTTCCCAATTCTGATGCTTAGTTCAAACTGCAGCAGATCATCTTGACCATGTTCACATGCCTAAATGCATTGAGTTGCTACTATGTGATTGGCTGATTTTGCGTTAACGAGCAGTTGGACAGTTGTACCTAATAGAGTGGCCAGTGAGTGTACGATTTATATGCAAATCAACACACAACATAATTATTGATTGATTATTGATTGATTGATTCATTTGAATGTCTAAACATGTTCTAAAATTTTTATAATAATAATAACTACAAATGTTTATAAAATGTATTATTAGTTGGAGTTAAAGGCTAAGCTAAATTTGAATTAGCTGAAAATGCTAATGCTGCTTCTGAAATTCCATCACCTCATATATGTTCAACCTATTAAAGTCAACTTTATTACTATTTTACTTGCATTTAGCCCTAAAAAATGAAATGTGGTAGTCAATTCTAGGATAACCATAAAACCAAACAAAATGCATCTTTTTACTTCCATAATTCCTTTTCACTCCATGGTTTCATTCTCTCCGTCTCTTCAGGTATCTTCTCCATCTATTTCCACATGACTCTGAGTTTTATGGGCCAGATGCTGGATGAGCTGTCCATCCTGTGGGTTTTGGCTATTGGTTACTCGCTGTGGTTTCCCCGCAAACACTTCCCTTCCTTCGTTAAGGACAGGTAACATATTCATGGTCATCATATTTCCGTCCCACTTGTGAGGCATGAATAGCATGTCTTCTTCTGTTAGGAGAGCTGCGTCTGCACTTCTGTAAAAATAGGAGCAATTAATGGATCCATTTACAACGTTTAGTTTGTGTAACAGTAACCCTGTTTTAACCTGCAGCATCATATTCTGCTCTCGCTGTGGGAGAGATGCATTCCACTGCTTTCTCAGTAGGGTTCATCCAGCTTTATATTAATATTTAAATGCTTCATAGCTAGGTGAGATGACTGGTGATGAAACAATGTTGATGATGCTGTACTGCATCTTTTTCACTGGTTTGGCAGGTGAATAGGTAAAAAATAACTACTAATTTTCACCATGAGCGGCACAGTGGCTCAGTGGTTAGAACTGTCACCTCACAGTAAGAAGGTCGCTGCTTCGAGTCCCAGCTGGGCCAGTTGGCATTTCTGTGTGGAGTTTGCATGTTCTCCCCATGTTCGTGCTGGTTTTCTCTGGGTGCTCCGGTTTCCCCTTACCGTCCGAAGACATGCGGTGTACGTGAATTGAATGGCCATAGTGTATGTGTGTGTATGTGTAAATGTATGGGTGTTTCTAAGTACTGGGTTGAGGATGGAAAAGGATCTGCTGCATAAAACATATGCCAGAATAGTTGGCGGTTCATTCTGCTGTGGCGATCTCTGATAAATCAGAGACTCAAAGTCGAAAACAAATGAATGAATGACTTTTCACCATAGTTCCTCAGTAGATTGATTAGAAAAGAAAAATTGCAAACATATTAAACGATACTGTACATAATTTCAAAATCAAACAGTTCTTCTGGGGTAATTAATGCGTCGATGCTCTTTGAATAAGAGATGTATAAAGATAAACAACAAAATCAAGTCCAAAGTATTTGAAAAGCTAATAAAAAAGTTTAAAAGCCTCTTTTAACATAGCTATTAAAATAATAAAAAAACAGCACTATTGTGCACTACACCCACAAATTTTGGCAAAACTTGCCTTGATCTGGGTGTCACTTTACTTTTTAAATGTTTTGAACTTATGATTTTGAGATAAAATGTCGTTTACATATGCAGAGGAGTGTTTCATGAAATATGCTAATTTGAATACATTTACTGTACCAAAATCAGAAGATTGTATAAGGTCAGATTCAAAATGTTTGTTTTAAGATTAGTCTAAGGTTTTTACAAGAAGAGACTTTTAGGGAATCACTCAATCATCCAGAAAACACATATTTTCTCAATTCTTTGTAGAAAACATATAGTCAGCCAAATGGTGTGATAAAAATTACTTCCGTAAGAGCCTTTAGAGTATTTGAGTAAAACTATGTTAACTTATGTTATGTTAGTGCTAAAATATGTTAGTGCTACTGAGGTTCAAATGTGTGGCTTCTTGCAGGAGAATAAAAAACAATAAATAGACATTAAAAATATGCATTTATTGTAACTGAAATCAACATAACCAAATTGAAAAATTGGATTAAAAAAACACACTTTTAAATACATTTTAGATGTTTACTTTACATCAGACTAAAACAAAACTCCAAAAAACCCAAAGTCTCCAAATATAAATGCGAATGAAAAACAGTATTTTTTTGTGCTGACCTTAAAGACTGATGTGATTATTATTCTTTTAAAAAAAAATATTAATTCTTCAGTAAGGATGTATTAAATCAATCAATAATGTAACATTGTAATATTATAAAATACTTAATCATATAATTTCTGTTCTTTTGACGTTTCTATTCATCAAAGCATCCAGGAAACTATATATTAAAGGGATAGTTCACCCTGAAACAAACATTCTGTGATCATTTACTCACCCTTCACTTGCTTTAAACCTTTTCTTTCTATCTTCTGTTATAAAGCAGAACACTTGTAAGCATTGGCTTCCATAGTAGGAAAAGCAAATACTGTGGAGGTCAGTGGTTAAAGGTTTTCAGCTTCTTTTTTTAAATATCTTCTTTTATATTTAACAGAAGAAACTCATAAAGTCTTAAACAAGTGAAGGGTGAGTAAATGAAAACAGTTTTCTTTTTTGTGTGTACTATCCCTTTAAGCGGCGATGACAATGAGAAGCTTTTCTTTAGCATCAAGTCATATAATAATTACTGAAGGACCGCATGTTAGGTGTGTATGTTAGTAGTGGATTTTAAAAATCTAGCCTTTTTATTACTAAAATAATTAGAATTTAAATGTATATTTGAACATTTTCAAACTGTTTACGATTTAAACATTTTAAATTGGAGCACTTTTTTCTAAAATTGTCTTCGTTTTAATCAGATAAATGCAGCCTTGCTGAGCATACGAGACTTTTTTTAAACTGTGTCTAAACATTAGAACAATAGTTTATAAAAGTACATATACATGAAGACGGTCTAATTCTGCTCTCTTTCTTTGTTTTATTCTCCTCAGGACATCTTTCGCTCGTTTGGTGCTGATCATCACTATCATAAGTACTCTGTCATCTTTTGTCAAACCTACAGCCAATGCCTACGCTCTCAACTGCTTCGCCATCCATATCCTCTACTCTCTGTTTGTGGAGTTAAAGAGGTAAAGCCTTTACCACTTCAAGCCTATTGACATTGTTTTAGTGCTTATATAATTGTTGGAATAGTTTAATTTACTCCCTCTCAGGCCAGAGAGGGTCACAAATACATATACAGGCAAAACAAAATGAATACCTGTGACTCCCTGCCATACACTAAGGTGCCGTTTACACTAATGTGTTTTATTTTTAAAACCTTTTGTCGCGGTTATGCCTGGTGTCCACATTACTAAAATATACACATGCCTAGTAAGCATGAATAGTCAAGCTTAATTAATTTTAGGCTGTATAGTGTGGTCAAAGATTGTACTAAATGCATACACTAAATGAAAACTAAAAGTGCAAAGGGCAGCTAAGGTCTTATGAAGCAAAACAATCAGACAAACAGTCTGTACAAAAAAACTTACTTTATTTACAACAGTATAATCCTCTATCAACAGACATTCGCAACAGTCTGGAGCACATTCATGTTGCTTGCTTTGCTTACAATTTTGCCTTCCCTCTTGCACCCCCACACTCTCCTCATAACTTACACTCCCCATAAACACTGCATTATCTATTATTTAATATTTGCACAATTAAAATTGCACAAATTCATCTTGAATTGTACATACCCACTGAACATATATATTTGTAATTATGTTCACATCTATCTGCATAACTCGGATTATTATGGAGCCAGGTCAGACTCAAAAATAATACATTTACAAAATATAATTTACAGCACAATTCACATTTACACAATCCACCTCATAAGTTCAAAACACAATTCGTAAATACACTAATCCAATTTGTAAATTCGCAACATGATTCATAAATACACAAATCTAATTCATAAATTCAAAAATTCATAAATGCACTAATCCAATTCGTAAATTTAAAACACAATCAATAAATACACAAATCCAATTCGTAAATTCAAAACACAATTCATAAATGCACTAATCTAATTTGTAAATTTAAAACATGATTCATAAATACGTAAATCCAATTTGTAAATTCAAAACACGATTCATAAATACACAAATCTAATTTATTTGGCAAAAATATTTTTAATTTTTACTTGGGAATTCACTAATTGTGTGTTGTATTTATGAATTGTGTTTTGAATTTTAAACTGGATTGTGTCAATGTGAATTGTGCTGTGGATATATGAATTGTACTTCGTAAAGGTGTTATTTTTTTAGACTGATCTAGCTCCATAGATAATTAATAACAAACTTTACATATAATCCTCTCTTGAAATCTCTGTTCATAGTTAATACAACCTGTATATAATGTTCACAGTACATCCATCTGTAAAGATCACTATAGTTTATAGTTGTAACTTATACCTGTGTCCTGCACTTGCTGCTATTGCACTCCTGATTAGACCTAAACAGCATTTCGTTGCCTTGTACTTGTTAATGTGTAATGACAATAAAGTTGAATCTAAACTAATTTAAAAATAAAAATTCTCACTTACTGACTATTTATTTGTTTAAAACTTGTTTGAGTTTCTTTCTTCTGTTGAACACTAAAGAAGATATTTTGAAAAATGTTGGTTTGCTGGAACCCATTGACTTCTGTCATTTTCATTTCTATTGAGGTCGATGAGTCCCAGCAACCAACATTCTTCAAAATATCTTCTTTAGTGTTCAAGAGAAAAAAGAAACTCATAAAGATTTAAAACCACATGAGTGAGAGTAGATGATGAGGTCTTTTTATTTTTGGGGTGAACTATCCCTTTAACCTGAATTTTATGAATCAGCCAAGAATCACATTTAATGCTTCATTTAAAAACATTTTGGGAAGGCTTAGTGAGCATCAATTAACAGTGAATGTTTATTATTTGATTAACTATTCCTTTATTCATTCATTCATTTTCTTTTTGGTTTAGTCCTTTTAATGATCTGTGGTCGCCACAGCAGAATGAACCGCCTAACTATCCCTTTAAGACTATATAAATGGTACTTGTAGTCCATCTTGTTTATTTTCTGTTGCTCTCTTGCTTTTTTCCTCGTCTCATTCAACACTGATCTGTTTGTGGAGCAGTTGCACAGATGAGCGAGTGCTGCGTCTGGCCTGGGCCTCCATTGGCCTGTGGGTTCTGGCCATCTCATGCTGGATTAGCGATCGCTTTGGCTGCAGCTTCTGGCAGAAACTGGACTTCTGTTATCTGCACGGTATCTGGTGAGTGAGCCATTATATCCTGCTGTACATTGAACAATTTAACCCTGTATAAACCCTGTTGAATTATACTGAAATCATTTTTAAGCCAATAGTACACGTCTTTTTGCCTTAGAATAACTTAGTAGACTGAAGCAAATCAGGATTACCTAATTATCCATATAGCACCTTTCTTTCTTTCTTTTATTTATATATTTATTTATTTATTTATTTATTTATTTATTTATTTATTTACTTACATATTTATTGCCTTAACTACTTATTTATTTATTTATTTATTTATTTATATACTTGCATATTTATTTACTTAACTACTTACTTATTTACTTATTTATTTACTAATTCACTTATTTACTTGTTTATTTACTTGCTTTTTTACTCACTTATTTACTTGGTTGTTTACTTATTTATTTACTTATTTACTTGCATAATTATTTACTTATTCACTTATATACTTGCTTATTTATTTACTTATTTATTTACTTGCATACTTATTTACTTATTTATTTACTTATTTACTTATTCACTTATTTACTTTTTTATTTACTTATTCACTTTTTTGCTTGCTTATTTACTTGCTTATTTATTTACTTATTTATTTACTTATTTTCTTACTTACTTGCTTATTTATTTACTGAGATACTTATTTACTTATTTATTTACTTGTTTTTTTACTTGTCTACTTGCTTATTTATTTACTTATTTATTTACTTGCTTATTTATTTACGTATTTAATTACTTATTTACTTGCATACGTATTTACTTGCTTATTTATTTGTTTTACTTGCTTACGTATTTACTTATACTTAATTACTTGCTTATTTATTTACTTATTTACTTACATACTCATTTACTTATTTACTTATGTATTTATTTACTTATGTACTTACATATTTATTTAGTTATTTATTTATTTACTTACTTATTTACTTACTTTCTTATTTATTTATTTATTTAATTACTTATTTACTTACATATGTATTTACTTATTTATTTACTTATTTACTTGCTTATTTATTTACTTATCCACTTAATTGCTTGCTTATTTATTTACTGGCATACTTATTTACTTATTTATTTACTTGTTTTTTTACTTATTTACTTGTTTATTTACTTATTTATTTACTTGCTTATTTACTTACCTATTTACTTGCTTATTTATTTACTTATTTAATTACTTATTTACTTGCATACTTATTTACTTATTTACTTGCTTATTTATTTGTTTTACCTGCTTACGTATTTACTTATACTTATTTACTTACTTATTTACTTATATACTCATTTACTTATTTACTTATATATTTATTTATTTACTTATTTAATTACATATTTGTTTGTTTGTTTATTTATTTACTTACTTATTTACTTACTTTCTTATTTATTTATTTATTTACTTTTTACTTATGTATTTACTTGTTTGCTTATTTACTTGCTTATTTATTTACTTATTTAATTGCTTATTTACTTGCGTATTTACTTATTTATTTACTTATTTACTTGCTTATTTATTTACTTACTTAATTACTTATTTACTTACGTATTTACTTATTTATTTACTTATTTACTTGCTTATTTATTTACTTATTTACTCATTTATTTACATAATTACTTGCTTATTTATTTACTTATTTACTGACATACTTATTTACATATTTATTAACTTATTTACTTGCTTATTTTTTTACTTGCTTACTTTTTACTTATACTTTTTTATTTATTTACTTACTTATTTACTTACATACTTATTTACTTAATTATTTACATATTTACTTATTTACTATTTTTTTTACTTATTTACTTATTTACCTACATATATATTTACTTAACTGCTTACTTACTTACTTACTTACTTACTTACTTACTTACTTACTAACTTACTTACTTACTTAGTTACTTAGATACTTACTTATTTATTCATTTTAAAGGCATGTTCCCATCTGGCTTTCGAGGTTGAGATGTTAAATTTTGGTGTCTGAATCAATAAAAAAAATAATAATAATAATCATCCTTGATTCTTGTCTCGTATTGTATACATTTGCCCCAAAACTCAAACTACAGAGCCATTATAAAGATTTTACATTTACTATTACTTTTTGCTCATGTAAATCAGCAATATCACCAAACGGTGTATTTTTTTTCTCAGTTTTTGCACCTTGAAATTTAGCTCCATATTCTCCTAATACAATTAGATAAAAAACAGATGTAGGATTTATATATTTAAATATTTGTTTATCTATTTTTTAAATAAAAATAAAATATTATGTTAAAATAAATGTTAAATAAAAACGTAGACTACTCTTTCACTAGTTTCACTATATTATCTAGTTTTACGACTGTCCTTTTAATCTAGTGACCCTTTTTTTTTCTCATTTCAGGCACATTTTGATTGTAATGGCCACTGCTTATGCTAGCACTTTGATTGCATACCTGGATGCTAGTCAGGAGATCCCTTATTCCCTCCCGGACTTGCAGTACTGGCCCCGGAATAACTGGGCCATTGGCCTGCCATACATCGTCCTCAAAGGCACCAATACGACCCGGAAAACATGCTAGCAAACATGAACAGATCTCATATTTAAAGCTGACTGGTGTAACTCTGATCTGGGACCAGCCTTCAACTTTCAAAAATGGTGAATAATTGATGTGAGAAAGAGCTGAATCTCTGTGAGGACTGAAGTGAAATGAATGTTGCATGTTATGGTTGTTTCTTTGTATTTTTCACAGAACCTAAATGTGTATGTGTGAATTTCTCCTTTTGAGACTGTATTTTCATTACAATCAGCATGTGGTTGTTACGTGGACATGAATATTTGCACTGTAGTGACAGAATTGAATGTATGTGCAATACATTCTGTAGTTTACTTGATTTACAAATCAGAGGCTTCAATTTGTCATCGGCACTACTTGATTCTTGGGTGAAACTTATAATGTTATATTGACAGTCGGTTTGATATAAGACTCATGAAATTAATATTCTCTTAACAATGATGCAAACGTTTGTTTACAAATGTAATAACTGGGATTGTGAACATTTTTTGTGCGATTTTTAAATCTTAATTCATTTTACTGCATTATAAATAATAAATATAATTAGATAATAATTATATTTATTATTTAAATATTGTATAAATCTCTATATATCTACATATTGTGTTTTAACTTTTGACCTTATTTTAATGATGAATTACCTTTCAATGACAACAGCGTTAATAGCACATGAATGAGGGTTTGAACTTTGAAGTATTGATGTTAAATAGTATTTCAAATAGCACAATGAGATATACTAAAATGCACAATGAGACGAACTTTACAATGATGCTTGTTACGTGTTATTTGTGTAAAAGGAAAATGGGGTCAACTCGAGGTTATGAATACTTCAACCACCCAGACTTCCGACACAGCGCCATCAAGTGTACAATTTAATGTGAATAATGGTAAATCTAAACCTGTTTTCAAGTAATCATTTACTCTGATTGAATTGGACATTTTTTTTTTACTATATATATATATATATATTTTTTTTTTTTTTTAATGATGAATTCTGATATTTTTAAATGCCAGTATAACATTGTATTCGAGTTTGTTTACCTATTAGATTTAGCCTAAAAGCAAGTTTAGCACAATAGGAGGTTACATCTGACTCTGAGTCAGCACGTTAAATGAATTGTATTTAATATATATTTTATATAAATTTCGTCATTGTATCCAAAATTTTAGTAGTGTCAACCAAATATCCTAAAAATAGCGGTTTACTACAATAAAGTACACTCAAAAATGTTTTTGCTTGTTCAAACTACATATTTAAAATAAGCTGAATCAACACAATTCTTGAGATTTGGTTGAAACAACTTAATTTTTTAATGTTCAATCCACATAAATTTGTTTAAAGTGTTAAGTTAACTTAATCGATTTGTGTTGGGACAACGTGAATGAATTGTGTGGAACCCTGCATTTTTACAGGGGCAGATTTAACCAATAAGCAATATAAGTGGCCGCTTAGGGCCCCAAAAAAGCTAAGGGCCCCCAAATAAATACCTAGACGTATAAATGATACTATAAATTATATGTAACATTATTTTCTATCATATTTTGTATGTTGAGGGTCACATTTTTTTTATTTAAAAGTAATTAATACATCTGTGCAGATGTGTCTCCCACCTTCAATCATGGATCAGTCCATCAGTCAAATCAGTAAAGATTTAGTTGTAAAAATGAAATAGTTTATTTATGTTTAGTTGTGAATTCATCTTAGGAAAACAAATAATTTCAAACGTTTTACAAGGTGCTTTAAATGTTATTATTATTATTATTACTATTATTATTATTTTGCATTAAGACGAAATACAGAAAAAGGAAATCAGATGATATAAGAAAAAAACAGCAAAAATAATAATAATAAAATTAAAGGTGCATTTTTAATTTTTGGGCCCCATGGCTGGAATTGCTTAGGACCCCAAAATCACTAAATCCGCCCCTGATAATATTAGTATATAAAATAAATGATTCCCTTTGAAATGCCAAATGAAATCTCTAGCCATTAATTATTTATTTACTGTAATCCCTCAATTAAACAGAGAACACAGAGGCATGCCCTCAGCAGCCAATCACAACATAGCTGTTTGTGCAACATGAATTGTTTTCAGAAACAGAAATGAAAATCATTCAGAAAAAAATAACAACAGCAGACTGCAAACACACACACACACAAACACACACACATCCTTTCGGTTCGGCTAATCTCTAATTATTACCTACCAGTACAAGCAGCCTGTGGGAAGTCCCGCCCATAGCGCTTTTCAATTGGCGGAGCGGCGTAAAGCGCATTCTAAACGGCATCTGATTGGCCAGGAGTGCTTTCTGTTTTGGGTGCATGCCAGAGGTCCGGAGAGGGGAGGGGAACCGTCTAGTTTCCGGTTTTGGGCTGGAATTGACACACAATGAGGAGTCGGGAGCAGCCGCTCAAAAGCCTTCTGTAAATAAACAGGACCTTCGTCAGGCCGGTGAACTATGGAGAATCAGGTAGAGTATGAACCGCTTTCGCCGTTGCATGGAGCGAAGTCAACTTTTGTGGGCGCGCGCTTAGAGAAATCCACCATTGTAACTGAATGTGGACACTTGGGGCTCGTGAAAGCAGCGGATCGGACCCATATAACCCCCTCCCTCCCTCCTCCTCCTCCCTCCTCTCAGCTCTGTGACTCGAGCTGGCCACGCATATTAAAGCTACATCGGCATTTGGGGACATCAGCTCGGGCTTTAGGGCTGGATGCGTGCGCCAGCTTTTTGCGGTAGGCAGTTAAGTCGTGCGCGCACCAGCAGAAACACAAAGGAGAGTGTTTTTGTCCTGGGCTTCTCTGGCCCGGGAGTCACTCCACAGTCTGCGGCTTTTATTAGAGGAAATGAGGAACATGCTGTAGTGTTCCTGACAGAGCGTGTTGTAGACTGAGGGCATTGCTCAGGTCTGCTCCGAGGGTGGGGGGTTCCTCAAGCGGGAATCTGTCTCCTTCCAAGCCTAATTAATTGGCCTTTTTATGCAATATGATTTATGGGCAGCAGCAGTGATCATATGCTGGAGATGAATATCATTGCGTTAACGTGCTGGCTATTTTTACACCTTCCGCCTTGTGTGTCTGTGGTCATGCACTGGGTTAATTGCTTTGCTATTTTGCGAGTCATTATTTTAGGCGTACTATATTGTTATTGGATGTTATCCATTACGACAAAATGCGCCTAAATGCTGGTCAGATTTACTTTTGAATGCTGTCCACATAATACTATAGCTGACACAGTTATTCTTACTTGTGGGAAATCATAAAAGATCCTAATATATAGACCATTTCAATGTGGTCATGTCATTGGCCGGTGGACATTTTCTGCTTATCAAACTATTTCATAACTAAGAAAAGGCTATTCAATCACAACTTGACATTAAAACAGCTTTCATAGCATAATTGATCAATATGTGGCTCTTTTTGGATTCTCAGAAGCTGTAGAAATGAAAAATTACAAAACAGGAAATACGTTGGGGCTAATATTTTTGTTTACATCTCTCAAAATGGTCTATAGAGCTTTCCTTTATGCCACCTTCTACAGTTTGAATGCTGCTACTGGAATTGTAGCTGTACTCAAACTGTGGTTACAGTGATAAATTAGATTTATTTATTTAATATATTAGTTTTTCAAAATAATTTAAAAGTAATTTCAATCTATACTCTCATGACTGACAGCTGAAGAAAAATTCCTTATTGAATTCCTGTTTAATATCAGTAAGCTGTTGGGTTTCACCGTTTTCCTGCTTTTAACTTGCTTTAAGTGCCCCTCCTGTGTGTATTGTGAATATTTGCGCACACAACAAATAGGTTGCCTGCGAACAGTATGTACATTCATTCCATTATCATCACTGTATTGTATCTGAATTTTGTTGTTTATGAAGAGAGAGTTCTCATTAATCAACACACCAGTGTTTTCAGTGGTGACAAATCTAAACAAAACTGATTAGTGAATGCGTTCGTTAGTTCAGCAGAAATGTGTGTTATTTATTCATCTCTAGAAACATCTGAGAAACATCCCATCCTGTTGTGCTTGTGGTTTGTATTCATTAGTTAGTTCTTCAAGCATTTTAATTGAAGTGAAGTTGGTTTTATATTTGCACATTCGCCTATATTGTTTACTACTCTAATTTAAATATTGGGTCTAAAATCTCGTTTAAGTATGACTTCAAAACAACATTAGCACTTTTTAATTGACTTATTTAATTGAATAATGGTGTACTTTAATAGTCATTGGTTGCTTATAGACGGTGACGATACCCGGTTTCATGGCGGTTTGGAAAGTCAAGGTTATAAAACCGCCAAAGTTTTCTGTTATACCATTCCTAAGGTATGTGTAAGGTATGTGTTTCCACGACTATTTCATTTAGTTTTTCAGGGCAACATTATTTTCAGCAGAAAAGAAGCCTTTACATCAAAAGCTACCAGCCCAAATTATTTTCAGTGTTTCTTACAATAAAACATATCGTGTTCAGTAGGGGGTAAGTAGTTTTTTTTTTTACCCAGAAATTTAAAAACAACTTATTTTGGAGCAGTAATCACAATACTGTGAAACTGTGATATTTTTATCCAAGGTTGTTATACCGTCAGAATCTTATACCGGCCCATGCCTAGTTGCTAATATGATTTCACTATTTAGAATTTGCAAAAAACTCTTTCCTGAAATGATATTATTAAGTAAAGCGTCCGATTGTGCGAACATAAAACCAACTTTACCTCAACAGCATTTTATCAGTTGCCTTTTAATTTGATCTTTAAAACCAATGTCAGTGTTACTGCACTTCAGTGTTTACAATCACTGAGAATTATGAAAGCTGAACTGTTTTATTTGTGACATCTACTGTATATGGTAAACCTATGACAGACAGGGTTGAAGGACTAACTAAAATTTAAAATAACTGAAACAAATAACCTTAAATGTTAGTTGAACATTTCACAAACTCGGACCTTTGAGTCACGTTTAGAGTGGTGAACGAATATATATTTTTTTGAGTTATTTCGTTGTTTGCCGATAATTAGGGATGTCCCGATCAGGTTTTTTTTTTTACCTCTAGTCTGAGTCATTTGATTTTGAGTATCTATCAATTAAAGTCAAAAATTATCTAATCAAGTAAAAAATAACATAAATTCTTCACTTTTGGACTTTAGTGCAGCAATCAATATTAAAAAATCTAATATAAAAACAAATAGCACCTCATCTTACAATACCTGGCAGATAATGCCAAGTTTACATATCTCACAGTTTGTTATTGCAATGTTGTGGTCATCAACTTTTTAATATCTTCAGACCGCAGACACACTCGCACTTTCCGATTTAAGCTGCTTCCGTGTTCTACTTTTTGGGCATTTAACCAATAGCGTCTCTGTAACAAAGTGATGTCATGCTGCACGCGTTGCTGTTTCTGTGTGAAGTCAAGAAAGAGGTCTAACTCTGTGCCACCGCATAACTATAGATGTGTTAAAAAATAATGAAAATATATACATATATATATTTGAGTCCTGATCGGGAGGTAACGTTCGATTCTGATCCAATCTGAGACCGTGTGATCGGGCCGATTTCCAATCACGTGGACATCCCTATCTAAAATATTATTAAAATGTTACGAGTTGCTTTCAAAGGTAACTGTAACTACACTAAACGTTGTTCACACTACAAACAAGTCATAACTAGAAGGCTATAAGAAAGAGAAAATAATAATTTATTGATTATGTCAGCTCACCTCTTAAATGGATCTAAACTAACGCAGGAGACTAATTTGGGAAC